CAACACCCAACACCTAATAACAAGAGACAAAGAAAATTAAAAAAAGAAGCAACAAACGACAAGCAAAACAACAGCCAACTACAAACAGCAATAGCAACCAACAGCCAATAAGCAACAACAACACCTGTTGGCCAAGTCGCCCTAGGTTCCATGTCCAAAAGCAATGCTCTTGGAATGTAGTGCTCGTCGTCAGCTTGGTAAAAGAAGACATCCTGCCGGCCGAGGAGCCTCAAAAGGTCACATTCTGGTTCACGTTCTTCTCAGTGGACATGTCGCACTACGGAGAGAAGAAGAACGCTTTCTGTGATACCAACGTGCGGCATCCACATAATTACATTGTCACTTTCTTGATATCGCAACAACGGCCCTGAAACTCAATATTCCACCATCATGCGCTTGTTGGTCGGTTGTTTTTAAAGGAAACCCCACATTGAAGAAGAACAAAAAAACTTTTCCGAGTAGGCCAGACCTCCCTGGGTTGCCCTGGGGACAAACACGCCGCTTTTTTTGGTTGGTTTTGTTCAGTGGGGAATCAATGCGAAAACGGAAAAAATGATGGCACCAGGCGATTGCAACTCTGACTAGACACATGTGGCTGTTGTCAGAAATCCTCAGTTTGATAACCCGGGTTGACCGGTGCAAAAATGTGATCTACCGGCAAGACCTTTAAACAACTTGGTTGGGACAAACACATGGCATCGCGCTGAAGCCAAGCATTGTCCGTTGTCACTCTGCACCACGCCCCCTTAAGGCGCGCCGGTATGGTGCTGGGCTGCCACCTGCCCCTCTTCCAACCAGGTAGGTGTTCACTGACACGGACCCAGTATTTGTCCTCGGCGTATTTGACTTCAACCAACCGCCAGCAGCTTTGGATTTAAGCGCTGCTTAATTCATTGAATGGGTTTTGATAGGATGTCCAACCCGGCTTCCATAAACTTCCCCGCCCGCCACCCCCCCCCCAAAAAAAGACAAACGAAAAGGAGAACAGTTATAACTTACCCAGAATGCGAAGGATGATTTTCAGGAGGTCGAACAAACATGGCACCGGACGTAGCCAGTGCTGGTCCATGATGTACTTGGTACGTGCTTCCGAGGGCCAGGTTTGGTATGCGCAAAGAACCTTCTTGCAACCAACCCACTGCACACTCTCAACGAGATTGCTTGGATCATTGAAATATGGATGAACTACCCGCGGTTCCCTTCACAAACAACTGAACACAAAGATTCTCAATTGTAGACAATTATTGCTGTGTTCCATAAAGTCATGCTGAAAATAAGCATATGAGAAAGCATCAAATTTACTCGTCTGGTGTGTATTCATTCCGACGTTAGGATGTCCCGTATCGTTTTACAGTCCGTTCATCAGGTCTTGTGATATCGTTTTGTTGGACGTCCCGTATCCGTTTTCGAGAAACACAACAACACACGTGCATGAAATACTCCTACACAACATAAATGAAGGTAATGATGCAGCTAGCTCATTTACCGGGGACCCTTCACATACACACACACACACACCCCTTTCGTGTGAGGCGACTAAAGTCCACAAACTGAGGGAGTGACTGAGATTGGAAGTCCAACAGACCTCAAAAGCCCGAAACAGTAACTTGCTTGCCCTTGACTAAACACGGACCACCATGGGAAAACCCAACGTCATAAACTCACTTCCGCACGAGTGGCCTGGCCAAAGTCCAAACTTTCCGCCACTAAAAGGGTCCGGGCCCAAAAACTCGAAAGTCCGAAACGGAACTCAGGGAGTGAGTAAACTCTAGACAGGGAGTGAGGGGGGGGCTGGGGGGGGTGAAGGTTCCAGAACGTCCTCGCGCCTTTCGATCGTCGCCGGAAGTGGCGAAGTCTTCCAGGATGCCCCGCTGATCTCGGAGCAAGGTGTCCGAGAAGAGCTGAAACAAACCACCCCCAAAGTATCTTCCTGAGTGGATTGGCCAATAAAATCTCGAACTTTATATTTGCCACTAGAGTCTTGGTTGCTGTTAACCCCTCTGCAAAAGGTTTAACTTTTTGGGGGCACCAAAAAGCCGTAAAAGAAAGGCTGCGGAAAAAGGAAGCACCTAATGTTGGGGGAACAATCCATTTTGAGGGTAGTTGAGGGTCCAGGCTCGAACCAAATGGGTGGCTCGTCTTTAGGAATCGCACCCCAAAAAAGTTAAAGTCTAAAGATGTGCTGCCCGATAGTTAACTTCCATTTGCTTGAGCCCCAGAAAACTAAAGTAAAAACATATTTCCAGTAGTGATAGATTCCCTTTAAAACCAACAAGGGAAAATGAACAATAATCTTGAGCAAATGGAAGTTAAATGGCCTTCCCAATAACTCAGGGAAAATGTTGCCCATGGCAGATTGTTTGTAAACGACTTCCACCGTGGCAGCAGTTGACTTGCTGGTTCTTGTGAATGACCGAGTCCAGGTTTCGAGAATGAACCGGAAGGGGCCTTAAAGACAACCGTACTGTTTATAGGGGTCCTTCCAACGCATTCCCTGCCTATCGAACCAGCAAATTGATAGGCCATCCCAACCGGTGCAACAAATCCATCCACAATAGGAGGTTTTTTCCCCAGCAAGCTTGCTTGGACACCATCCGAGAAAGCTGCTTGATATAACCCGCCACACATGGAATCCGCATGAGACTTACCCCAGTAACAAATGGATTTGGACACCCTTCTTTGAGCTTGATATTCAAGGGAAAGTCTCGGAAACTCTCGCACACCCACCCCACACTTATGCAAGCAAAGCTTGGTTGCTGTTGACCTCTCTGTAAGAAGTGAATAACTTTCTGCGGGTTCATTCCAAAACACAATTGAATTCATTCCCAAACAATTCACAAAGCAACAAGGAACCCCCTGCAGGTCGGTTCCTGGATGAGCCAGCCCCCGGGCTGCGCACACCCCACTAGAAACTGCAAGATCTAGTCCAAAGTTACCCATTTCCTCCCCCGCAGCAATACCGCCAAGTCTTTTGATGGCTCCAGGGGTCCTTGCAGTGTCCACCTTCTCAAATTGGGGAACAAAGTGATCGAGTTCCTCTTCCCTTCAAAACCCCTACCAAAAGTACGTACTTTCAAAAACAATACGGTGGCAAATCATTCAAAAGGAAACCGGACACCAAATGAAAGGAGTGAACGGCAACATTGATCGCTTCGGATTCATCCGGATTTTTTTTCTTCGCGGACCCTCCCAAATGCCGGCCCTCATTAAGACGGTGGGTGAAATCTGGAGCAAACATGAAGAGACAGCCGAACTTAAAGGCCATCTAAAGGAGAACCCTCACAAAGGGGATCCACCTCCACGCCCCACGAAAAAGAATCACCACGAGTACAAACTAAGGAACAACAGGATCGCGTTAAGATGATCAGTGACGTCTTGAAATGTATCTTTGGGGTATCCGCTTCTGGGCTGTCCTCAGATCCCCTGCTAAAAGTTTAACTTTTAGTGACCTCCATGCTGCCCGGTTAGCTTGCCGGCCTGTCCGGGTTAAATGGAAGCCCCACTAAACACTAAAAGGCTAAAAAGCTAAGGGGATGGCTGGGAACCACCAAGGTTTTAAGCTATAGCCCATATATGCATCGGAATGGTTGGCTCGGATTTGGTAATCCCCGAGAACGCCTCCTGCCAGGAAGCCCCTAGCAACACAAATCAATCACCAAAGCAGGCGAGAATCCCAACTGGAAATCTGGGGCCGACTCGTGCCTTTGCATCCCTTGTCCGTTTTTTGTCCTAAGGTGAAACTCCCAGCCACACTCCTGATGTCAATGAATAGCCAAAACCAATCCAAATTGCAGGATGGGACTTTTTGATTCCACCCTCAAAGAGAACCATCAAAGCGAGGGCTTTGCGCCCTTTGACTTTGACTCGTTGGGTTGCAACGGCCCTTAACCACAGCGGTTCAAAACAAAAAGCTTGCAACCTCCCCCGCACTCAAGATAGCTTATATCCCCTCGTACCTCTCATCCTCCCTTACTCCCCACCCCCCCCCAAAAAAAACAAGAAACAAAAACAAGAACGACAATCCTAACCTCACTCGCCCACATGACCCAGACAAAAAAAGAAACAGGCTAACCCTCTGAGACCTTGACAAAACATTGACCAAAATGGGGGGCCGAAAGGTCAGGTCGCTTTGGACAACTGAGCAGCCCAATTCTTCCAGAAATCACCCAAACATAAAGAGTCGGAAGCATCTCAACAAGACCTGTTTCTGATGTCCACCAAAGGGTCCCTACTCAAAATTTACCCTCATACCGTCCAAAAGCGACACTTAAATTCTCCCCACCTTTTTCTTATGTCCGCCAAAGAATGCCCCAACTGAAAATCCAGCCCAAAAAACACAGCACCGGTTTCTGATGTCCAACAGTTTGGGTCCCGGAACCCCACAAAAAAGGAAAACAAACTCTCCAAACACCACCTATTTCTGATGTCCACCGAAGGGTCCCCCCGAAAAAAAACAAAAGGAAACAAAAACTATCCGAGGAACTGATGCCGTGCTCCGCGCACAAGAGCTTCCAGAACTCCGCGCCGATCTGGTTCCCACATTGCCCCACCTGCGGCCGCGGATCCGGCCATGGCGAGAGTGCTAGGGTCGGATGAGGCACGCGGCATGGAGCCGGTGGGGTGACATGCTTGTAGGGAAAAGAGGGGGTTGGCGGGAACCAATAAAAAAGTCCAGCCACCGAAATTTGGAGGTTCCGATATTTTCAGAAACCCCCATTGTACCCAGCCCAGGGAACCGAGGCTTTTGAGAGGGAACCAAGCGAAACCGCCCTTTGGCCGCGGGGTAAGTCAGAGACCCCAACCCCAGCCTCCTCCAGCGGGGGGGTTCTTGGGCGAGGTTTGTGGGACTGGCTCTTGGGGAGGCCCTGAGTCCTCTGGAACAAATGCCTCTGCTTCAACCAAGCCCTGGTCCCCTTTTTCGGAAACCAACTGGATTCTAACAGTTCAGACATGTGGCAATGGCTCATTCTTTTTCGGACACCCTACCCCATTGAAGGAAAACATGATTAACCCACTTCAGGTTTGAGCAAACATGTTGGTTGGCTCAACCCACCAAAGGAAACTCAATCGCTTTTTGTGCTTTTCTCACTTCCTGAGTGGATGGGCCAAGGAAAGTCTAAGCAAAATGTTACCACTCAAACGGCAACCAACCCCCTAGTAAAGTCCGAAACAGAGCTCAGGTAGTAAGTCTTCCGGAAGCTTTCAACGCGGCCTGGGTTTCCCGAGCGGTAATTAGATGCCGACGCGACAAGGCGCCTGCAATGTGATGATCTCGCGCGGCATTGCCTCCCGACACGGCCGCTGCCGAACCTGCGTTTGGCCAAGAACAGCAACCTCAAATGCCCAGTGGCCATGGGAAAAAGGGCATGTTGCTTTCCTGGTTGGTTGAGTTCAAAGGGGAACCCTTCCCACAAAAAGGGGAAAAAGAGCGCCACCGGGCAACTGGGGACCCTGCAACCACCCTTAAACAAACAAACCACCCACCATCAATTTGGGGCACTCCACGTTTGAGGGTTCTTTCAGGATGCAGGTAACTTCTGGCGACAGCCAAGAAGTCTGGTCCAACCCCCACAAGTGGCTAAAGCGAGGGAAGGAACTCAGGAAGAAGCCAGCACATCCCTTTCCTTGGGCCCCGGTTTTGAGTGAAAACGTTCAGGAAGGATACCCAAAAACCCCAAAAAGGTGAGGCCCAAACGGGCAACCAACCATACCAAAGAATGTGTAGAGGTTCCAAAGAAAAATTCTGAGATGTTTTTATATTGGATGTCACGATGCCAAAAGGGTGCATCCCACTGACCTGACCGGTGAACAGAGAGGATACCAGTAGCACCCATTGTTGTGATCTGGGGATCTTCAGTCCGAACACCTGAGCACGTAGGGGAAAATCGCTTCCCGAAGGTGGAGCAACTCGAAAAACAAAACGTCCGCCGATAATTTGTGCGCCGGAAAATGGCTGGTTCTTAGGAAATCATGGGCACTCTCCTTCAAACCATAATTATTTTTTGTGTGTGTGTGTGTTCAAAAGAAAGAGTTACAGGTATATTTACACAAACATGGTTGAGATGTTCAGGTGAGTGAGCACTGACTGCTTGTTCCAAGATGGTTGTGAAGGTAAGAATGACCTTCCCTATCGCCAAACCAGGCACCTTACCCAGCATGGCCAATAGGAATTTTACGGCAGGGAGGGGGCAACACACTGGTTGAACATCTGTGTCATAGGTGACCTTTTTGACAAATAGATGCCCCTGGTAAGTGGAATAAAACCAATTCAAACCATAGCCAAACTAACCTAAAAAGGACACCTATGATCAGTTTTGAGCAGCATCCTTTATGCTCGCCTTCAATGAAGCCACATTACTCTCTGTCGTGTGTTTCGTTAGTAATAGGAGGGTCAGTTTAAAGGGAGACAAACTCACTTCAGAACTTTTGTGGATTGGCCAAAAGTGCAAACTTGTTTGTTCACCCCAACACGAAGCGGAAGGAACATGCACAGGAACCGGTACTTGAAGGTTCCTGGATCCGACCATCTTGATTTTAAGGGCCAATCAATTCTGCTGTGCAGGTTCCCGTGTTTTTGAGTTTTACCCATATTGGGGGTCTGAACATGTTTTATTTTTTGATTTGGTACTCTATTGAACGGTTGGTTTTGCAAGGGATGTAAAGAACACCCGACATTCATTTTTCCGGGGCTCGATTCCTAAAAAATGACGAGCCATACACTTTGCAACCACAAATTCGTGAACGCTCGGGCGGCCTTTGGGCCAAATGGCGCGGCCACTAAAGGAGGCCGGCAACAAATCTCAGCTCGCCATGAGCGAGCCAAGCGAAGGCACGTCTCGTGACAAAAATGACAACAGGAGTGATGTCCAACCACTTTCACTCGATGGTTTCCTATTCAAGTTCATGGTCATATCACTTAATCCTGTGGTTTCCTGCAAGATACATGGGTTTCTTGGTAAATAGCTGTTGACAGCCTAGCTTGAATTACCGAGCACTCCTGGCAACGCTATGTCTCAAGGGTCTGCTAACATGGCTTCAGAGCTGGCTTCATCCGGTCCCTCCATTGGCGCATTGACGCTGGGCTGAATGAAGCTTGTCGAGCTGGAGAAAACTGGATAGGCAGCTTCAGCTTTGACTCGAAGCATCTTCTGTGACGCTTGAGGGTGTGGGATTGTACTGGTACGCTGCTCAACCCATGTTTCCTATTTGCAAGTCAGCAAACTCTTGGCGATGTACATATTTACAGCAATTTGTGCAGATGCTTGTTGTCCAAACAGCAGCCCATGTGTCATGTCCGTGCTTGATGCGGAAGCTGCCGGAAAGCGGATTGAGGCGACCATGGCACAAAAGATGTCACACCCACAAACAAAAACACAACCTCTGAGGGAACTCTATGGGGCATCCATTTTGTTAAGGGTGTATAAATCCATCCGTATGGACCGGATCATAGACCCACCCCGTCAGGCGTCCATGATTTGGCCTCAACAGTTCTCCAGAGGATTATCAAGGAGGAATCTGGGCAGCCCCTTTTCTTCTTTTTCCCTTCGCCCCGGACCCTTCGCGCGCTGAGGGGCAGACAAGAGCGCCGCAGACTCGTCAGGGTCCCTGCGGGCAAGTGGTCGCGGTCGAAAGACAACCTGGATAAACTCAAACAAAGACATCGAACGGATGGACCGAATCCTGCATGTTTACCTTCTTGGAAGGTTGAAGGTCCCAGGTTGAACATTTGCCCAGCAGAATCATTGGACAGATGGAACGGCTCAGGATCTCTTATGTTACAGGGCCTTTCTAACAGCTTCTTTGTTGTGTGCGACAATTTTTGAGCCTGAAGCCGCACTTCTTCAATTTCGACCGCCGCCATTAAAACAACAAAACCAAAAAGAGCTGCTGCATCCGCCATGGAAGAAATCCCCAAAACAAAAACATTGGACCAACCAACAAGCGGGGATACGGAGGGAGCGGGGATATGGGGGGATTCCATTGGCGCCATTTTCCGTATCAAACTTAGTCAAGGTGCATCCAACGGGGGAATCCTCCTGTATCCCTGGTTCCCCTGTATCCCTGCTAGTTGGTTTCCCTGAAAAGAGCTGCTCCGGTCCCGCGTCACCCGCGCCTGGTGACAATGAGGCGGTAGGTTGTGGAGGCCTTTGGGCCCTTGAAGCTGTCTGGTGACGCCACTTCCTAGGGACCGAAGGCCCGGCGAAGGCGCCGGAGCACATCGACCGGTAGCTTTGGCCCAAGAGAAAAACCAAAGCCCTAGTAACCAAAAAAAATGTCGCCACGAAAATGTCGCCACAGAAAATGTCGCCACGCCCGAGTAACCAAAGCAAACGGAAGCAGGAAACACCTCCAGTGATCTTTCATCTAGGGGAAGCTTCCCTATTCTTTCCAGGGATCCTTCTTTCCAGAAAACCTCAAGAAACTGAAAAGAACGATGGTTGAAAAGAATGGGGAAACAACCCTTACAAAAGCACCTATTTGGCTGTGGGTCAAAAATAGGGTAACCCCAAAATGGGTTGCCCTGATAAACGGAAACATGGACGGACATCTGCGGTTCCCTGGTGGTTTAATTTTGACCCATACCAATTTTTGTATCCACCAATGAGTTCTCCACTTAGTGGCTTGGGCCATCCAGGAAAAAGGGCCCTTTTACTACTTACCCCGTGGTCCACGTTGTCATGGAACCCAAAGACATGGTCCCTTAAAGGACAATGGCCCAAACGAGCACCGCCTCTATGAGGTTCCAGGTTTGTAGATGGGAGGGTACCAATGGGCAATGACCACTCGGAGCAACCCTTTCGAAGGCACATCACCGGGCAGGCAGCGTCCCTACCGGTTCCCTAGTGGACAGACCACTGATAACATAAAAATGACCCAGGACTAACAACCCCAGGTGGATTAGCAGGTCCGTGTTGGAGGGGAGGCTTCACTCGGAAGGAACACCCCCTGAATTTATCCACCAGAGAGATCAGTCCGTCGACATTATGCACACCAGGGAATGTGAGAATGAGCTGAACCATCCCTCGTGGCTTGTGTTGATTTTTAGGTACCCTTTTAGGGGAAACGATAACGACGAGTTTAAGGATCCCGCCCATTTTCAGACATATCCACTCCCAAAACCCTATTCAATACTTATCCAACCAGCAAGTAAAGCTCGCACCAAAGAGCAACCCAGGTCGCTTGCGCAAACAGCGAAAACACGCGCACAGCATCGAACAGGAGAATCCTCAGACATGGAACCCACGTCACCCAAACTTGGAGTTTCTCGGTTGGCCATTTTGGGGGGTCCCCTAAAAGATGGCACATTCATGCACTTCTTTCCACAAACGCGCCTCTGCGTAAATTCTGGACAGTCGCTCCTAGTGTGAGCACCCCACCCTAAAAAATGAAACAAACCCACATCCCCCAAAAAGGTGGGAAGGAACCTAGGGATCCCTTTCAGCAAAATACATCAGTTCAGAGTTTGGTCCAAAATACTTCAGTTCCGGATTCGGTTCCACGGAAGGTCATGGCTTCCCCAAACCAGCCCAACCCCATAGCTAAAGTAGACTTCTACCCAAACTGAAGAAAGCACACTTGAACCATGAAACACAGCCGCATGGCTGCGGGTCAAAACCAATGGCACCATTTTGGGGAAGGTGCACCACCCATTTTAGTTCTATTTTAGTGGGGATTGGGATGTTCACTGGAAGTACGATTTGGCTCGGCACGCATGGCCACATTGTATACCGAACACATTTTTCGCCCAGGCGCGACTGAGATGGTCTTCACCAGCGTCTCCTGAGGCTTCCTGCGCTCGCTGACTTCTGAACGAGTGGATTTGCAAGACGAAAATGCAGGCCTGTGAGGATTCTTCACCGCTAAGATGGTCCAAAGCTGCAAAGTATAAAGTCCAGTGAGTTAAGCATTGCGTATGCCCGAAATGAGTGTCATTCACGGATCTGTCAGCGGTATACCAGGGTGCTAGCAGGGGAGTGACTTGAGCTGGGGTTGACAGCCTCCATTTTAGCTTTTGGTTGATTTCCCCCAACGAAAACAGGTCGGGGATCCAGCCCAAGAACAATCACAGTCCCCTCCACATCAAAGGTGACAAGTCAAGCAGCTTGGACTTGGGCAAGTGGCTTCCAAAAGACCTTATGGGCCACGCGCGCAAGAGAATTCTTGTTCCTAGACCCGACTTCCACGGGTGGACGCACGTCTCGCCTTATGGGATCCAGAGGCCAATTTGTTCCGGCGTCCAAAAACCGGTTGGTTTTAGCCTCGGGAACTGGGGCTGGAAAAGCATTCTCCAAGCTGAAAACATGAGTGCCGGGGGTTTTCAGGTTAGCTTGGAGCACCGTGGCGGGTTTTTGTGTTGCTTCCTTCTTTTTCGAGGTGGGCAATGTTCCAAGGGGCTAACCTTTTTTTCCCACTAAGCCAGACTTAGACTCCAGGTATAAAAGAGTTAAGTTTGTTGAAGAGAGCTTGCACGAAAAATCTACAGCATGGTGAACACGTGTAAACATCTAGAATGTGCAAACAACGGGCCGCCCTTCCAAAAGCCCCTGTTGCCGACCATTTCGGTTGCCACGAATGGAATCCACCAGGAAGAACCAGCCGGTGGCCAAACCAATCAACCAAGCAAGCAAGGAAGCAAGCAACCACCCCGCCCACCCACCAGCCAGCCAGCTGCACAAACACACATCCAGCTACCCCGCCCCCTCTTTTGGGCCAATCCCCCCATCCCGCCAGTTGTTTCACCAAGTCAGATCTGGAAGAAATGGCTAAGTGATTAGTTTCGCCTCCCAGGTCAGTTTACCCCTGTTAACCCCCTTAAGGGCAGCTAACCCCTCGAACTTTCTGCCCTTGTGGTTTAGTTAGTTGTTGCTCTGTGGTCGGCAAATCTGAACAACAATGCGATAATTGCGACCCAAATAATTGAAAAATCATTCGAATAGGCTTGTGGGCTAGGTCATGTTTATAGTAGTAAGCTATGTGAATTGCTTCTCCCCGGCCAAAACGAGTCGGGGCCCCGCGCCCGCCCAGCTCCAGCGTATGCACTGCGGGCTGACCCTGTGGCCGGAAATCCATGCGGAGAAGCTAACTGGAGTGCCCTTCGGGCATTTGTTTCATACTGTGGATGGACGAAATCCATTTCGCACCACCTAAGAAGCCCTGGAATGATGGTTCCCTTGTAAATGGTTGGTTTCAAAGTGGTGCGAACGGATTTCGCGCATCCGCAGTAGTTCGGGTTCCCAGTGGATCCCAGGTGTTTCGCCCATAGGTAACCCTTCGACGCATGTTCCTTGTGGCTTTAGGCTGGCAAGACTAAAAGGTTACCAGTAGGTTGGAATGGAATCACCGGGGTTGCTCCCGGGTCCTTAGGGCAACTATCCATTCGAGGACTATGGGTGAGCTTGAACGGGTGAACTCATGACATATCGAACTTCGAGCAACACTGAAGCTGGAACAAAGCCAAAGTAGACTCAAGGAAACGCTCCACACGCAACTCGCGTTGACAAGCAGAATGGATTTGTGTGTCCAACCAAGAAACCTGCCAGGAAACCTGAGTCTTAAAAACGGATTAATACTTGGATGGCACAAAGGCCAGGACTAGAACCTTATTGAAACCGGTGCACTCTATGTTCAATCAAACTGACCGAGCAGATCCGAAAAAGGCAACTTGTGAACATTGAAGCGGCATCCTGCACTATGTGTCTGTCTAAGTGGGAAGCTAAAGGGACATCTCGTTTGTGGAACTTTGAGAGATGGGTCTGGCCTATAAATGGGGGGGGTCCAACATGGAACCCTGCTACATGGAAAAGTAGACTAGACCTGCGGCGCCGCCTGGCTGTTTGATTTTGAGCCACAAAATCATATCCTGTAAAATGCTACCACGCTCAAAAGGGACGACCTATGCCAAGTTCACTCCATTCAGCAAGAGCGAATAGTACCCCGTGCCATCGACATGGTCAAAACATTCTGCCCCGTTTGTTTGGGCCGAACCGGCTGGTCACGGACCCTTTCTTGTGCCAGACGCATCCGCTAGACAATGTCGGAGGTGTTTGGGGGTCTCTAAACCTGGCTGTTTGGGGGCCCCTAAATTCATCGGGAGCTGTTGGGGGAAAGGGAATTTTGACCACCATACCTTCCTGCCGGTACCAAGGAACCACCATGCCCCATGTGGAAAGTGTCTTTTCATTGGCACGAATCGGTTCCTGGCTATCCGTATTGACCAGAGCAACTAACCCCAAGAGGTGTTTCGACAGCCCTCCATTTGCAAATGCGTTCTCTGGGAAATAAACAATGACAGGAACTATGAACTAATAATAAATAAGAACAATCAAACATACTGCTTTTTGTTCTGAAAACAAACAGATAAAAACAAAAAATGGGCGGGGCTCAATCAACACCGTTGGGGCCCCCATCGCCGCGAGCCGTCGACGCCTCTGTGTAGATCACAGGCTCCCCGTTCCTAGCAGCTCGAAGCTTGAGCCCATGAAGAAGTTTCTTGTTTTTGCTATTTGTTTTATTATGTTCTTCTTTACAAGCAAGAACTACTTTATTTACAAGCAAAAACTAATTTTGTTTTGCTTTGCTGTTGTAGTTTTCTCTTGCTTTCCCGAAAGCATTGCGAAGGCTGCGTTCTCCGCAGCTCGGCTGCATGACAAAGAGACAGTGAAATGCATAGAGGCATGCAGGGAAAGTGCACAGTGATATGCGTAGGGCAAGTACAGAGTGAAATGCATAGATGCATGTGCAGGGAGAGCAGACAGCGAAATGCATGGAGGCATGCACAGAGTAGACAGTGAAATGCCTAGTTGGCAGAAATGGACCGATTCAGGCTGCGTGTCACGGAAAATGCTTTCGGGCCACCCGACTTCTAGTTGTTTTCTTGTTGGGGGCGATGCCCACGCATCGCAAAGTATCTTACTTCTTTATGGGGCATGTCCACGTGGACCCTCAACCTACGATGACAAATGATTGTTGCAACCCAAAATAATGGATGGTGAAAATCCTTCTAATTATAGGGAACTGGGCTGTCCGTTTTCAGATCCCCTGCTAAAAGTTGTCAATTTTTGGTCTAAACACGAAAAGGGTTTAAAAACTAAGGCACCGGCTGGCTGGGCTTGCCACCAAGGGAATGTTGAGGGTCCAGGTAGCCACCAATATGCTCGGTTGAGAAGACCCATAGAAACAGGCGACCGGTGCGCTCGGTGGGCAGCTATTGGTTTTGAATGTTGATAGGTATGTGTCCGGGTTGAGACCCAAGCGGGTTCTTGCGTTCAAATGAGCCCATGACCAGTTTTGGCGTCCTTTCCCAAAATGAAACTGGACTGTCCTCAGATCCCCCGCTAAAAGTTCAACTTTCGGTGGGTTGAATGGACACCCCACTAAACCCTAAAAGGCCAGAAAGCTAAGGCACCGGATGGCTGGGCTTGCCACCAAGGAAATCACACACAGCGTGCAAACTAACTAACAAGAAGCTCCCACCAGAGGCCCATTTGATTCACACACTTTGCGAAATGGAGAAATCAGATACGCGTCCATTTGCATTTATTTCGCCAGTGTTGGTTTTTTCCACCCAAAGACTCGTGGTTGTGTTTAGGGGCTTAGGGTTTAGGGTTTAGGGTCTGGAATTTGAACTCAAAACGGCGAAACCAGGACCACTTTTCTTGCTGGCTCTCAGCAGGGAATGAAACATGGAAAGGCCCCTTTTCAACCATCTGCTATGGTTTCCTTCAAGGGAATCCCCTTCCGGTTCATTCCCAACACCCTGGCTGATTCCCTACCTATCGCACCAGCAAGTTTTGTTTTTTTTCTGCTGGGGTGGAGTGGGGTTAAGGGACCCCCCCCAGACAAATCGACCGTCTGAAGCTACCACGACCAGCCGGGGGGCCGGTAGGCATCCCATTTGCTTATCACCAAGCTGCTCCCGCCTTGCTTCGACATCATTCTTTCGGTATCAAACTTTATGTGGGCCGCAAAAAGACATTTGCTTGCGGTGGTGGTGTCAAAAGGGTTGTGTTGGCCACTTTGTTTGGCGCTTGTGGGGCCTCTAGGAAGTGTCAAGAAGCTTAGCCAAAGGCGACGCAAGAAGCCCGTTTTGTGGTTGCTCTCTATGGGTCCCGACTGTTGCTGGCCCTTTTCTTTCTCTGAGGAATTAGTAAGGGGTCAAAGGGGTGACCCTTGCAGTTGAAACTCCACGAATGCTCAGCTTCCCGCGCGGTGATGACCGGATAGAACTCCGAACCTCGGAATTTTGGGGGAAAACCCCCGGTATATCGCAGCTGAGTGCGGGTTTTCTTGAAGGCTGGGTTGAAAGGTGGAAACCAAAACGGAAACGCACACTCATGTCTTAGAGGGTGCGGGTGCGCCTGTTTTCTTCTCCCAATGCCGAATGTTCCTGGAGTCTCCATGACCCTCAAAAAATGGATCCATGACCTTTATCGGGCTGAATCACAAAATGGGTCTGCGCCAAAAAATAGGATCGGACCCCTCCCCCCCGTGTAGAATGCGTTCCTTTTGGTGTCCCCTGTCAACCATCCCCAAAAAGGGTACCGGCTCAACAAAGGACTCCCATGTACTTTATGACACACATGGGTATGAACTTTCATTCCCCTTTGCTGGACATCATAATCCGAAGGTGATTCATGTGCAGCAACAACTTTACAACTGTTGAAGAAACTATAGCCATGTTCTACCATGATCATAACTTGAACTGTTGATTGGTTTTATAGTACCCCCCCACAACCCCAATTGGACGATTGGGCCGTCTAATATGACAGGTTCCGTCTGTCGGCAGCCAGGCCGCTCCCCGTATGCCTCCCCTTGCCGGAACTAGGGCCTGCGACCTGAGGCCTCAAACAATTGACCAACTAATAAAATACATGACCCCCTCAAACTATACCCGTTGCCATTTGCTGTCCTCAAATCCTGTGCTGTGACTAACTTTTCGTGGGTGAAATGGAAACCCCACTAAACAATAAAAGGCCAAAAAGCTAAGGCACCGGATGGCTGGGCTTGCCACCAAGTTTAAACAAGGTGATTGCCCCAGACTTATGGTGGGTGAATTCCCGTCTTAAACGGATTTTTGAGGGTCCAGGTAGATGTTTGGGCGCCCTGAAATCGGTTTCTTGTTCATTCCCTGGGTCACTCCTGAAAATGACGACCTCAATCAAAGAAACACAAATCCAACTACAATGTCCTTACAGAACTCCTGACAATGTTGGGAATTGACTAGAAATGCCCTCGTTAAATTAATTCTAGTCTGCTCCCCTCCCTGAATCTCCTCACCCGAGACGATTTTCCATTTTAGACGAGGTTTGAAAACTTAGACACCCTCATATATGGTTCAATCCCCTAAGAGTAGCGTTCCAAACAAAAGTTTGTTGCACTTAGCTCTTTCTTTCAGCTTGGATAAATATACCAATCCATCTTGTTTCGGGGGTAGCCACTCCCACAAGAGCGATCTGGACTTCCCATCTGCTTCCCAATCAAAATCAACCAACCCAACGCTCCAATTCGATTGACTTAGGGCCCAACAGCCAGGTTTTGAGACCCCCTCACACCGAGGTCTACTCCTGTGGATGGCGTTTGGGAGTAAAGGATCTGAGCACCTCCGAAAAGAGGGTACCAAGGGACCCTCTGGGTGAGTGGATTACAAGAAACCAAACTTTTTCATTGCCACTAAACAAATCCACATCCAAACAGGAACTCCAGGAGTGAGGAAGGGGTCCGCCAAAAGGAGAAAGCACGGCGGTGAGGTCTGACGGGAAGACACGGTGCAAACCCAGAAAGGATCAGGTCCGAAACGGAATTCGAGTGAGTTGTGAGAGTAAGTGGGTCACAACCATGGATACAAAACCACTTAGAAGACATACAAGCATGGCTGTTGTGGTTTATATGCATGGTGACCCCCCTAAGCTAACAAAAGACTTGGTTCAACTTGTAGAGGCCAACTGGGGAAGCTTCCGGCTGTTGGTCTGAGTGCACTACCCACCTACGAAGCACCTAGATAGCCAAATTGCTGTTTTGTTCAGTCACGGTTGCGATCGGTTTTTGTGGTAAAGTGGACGAAAAAAAAGCGATCGCAACTGGCGATCCAGGTACCCCGTTTTGAGTCAAAGACCTCAGAGCTCTTGGCGCTGGGCTGAGGTATCGCTCGAAGTTCACCTCTGCCTGGATCGTCAGCTCGGGCACGAACTTCTCGATGTGCACCTGCGCAAGCCAGCGACCGGGAAAAGGCCGCTTTTGGGGGGCTGGTTTGAAGGGACACCAAGGGGAAATGAAGGGGAAACCAAGGGGCAACCCAGGGAAACCAAAGGGAAAACTAAGTGGAGACCAACAAAAGACTAAAGCAAACCGCATTTTGCGAAGCCAGAAAGTCCCTGAAAACCCGTCAAGGCTTCAAAGAGGTCAACCTGCGTCCAAAGAAGTACATATTGTGTGGGTGTGTGTGTGTGTGTGTGGGTGTTGTGTTAAGGGACACGAAAGGGAAACCAAAGCAAAACCAGAGGGGAAAGTTGGGTAGGTTGTTGTTTTGTGAATGCCCAAAGGGGAACCCACTGCTTTCAGGGGTTGGATTTGTTTGGGGCAACCCTAATCCCATTCGGGGAGTGCGGAACTAGCAAGAAAAGAGCACCCGATTTCTTGGCCGCAACACATCTCAGCAATGGGTGTCTTTTTCGAGGGTACCCCTTTTGTGTGGGGTAAACCAAACGGAATTCACCCACTTTTGGGGTTCCGATTCCTATTTCGAGACAACACCTTTTCAGAACCTAAATCTTGAGACCGCAGAAAAGGGAACTTTTGCCGGAGTTCTCAAACTCTTAGTGATTCCCATTGAACATGAAACCCAAAACCCATGTGGCTGTGGCTCAACAAACCGGTACCAAAACGGAACCCTGGTGGAAAAATGGACCAAAACCAGCGGTTTGCCCCTCCTGTTGAATTTTGAGCCACACCCATCTGTAGAGGAACCCTTTTTGGGGGCGACCACTTTTTTTGGGGTTCCATGCATATGAATTTGTGAAGTAAGGGCCCAAACAAAACCCCCCAACAAACAACTTGAAGGGGCGCGAAACCCACCAGGCCCAATTGTGTGTGTGTGTGTGTCGTTTTTGATGGTACACGTTTTGGGGGTGGGTTTCAAATGGACTCAAACACTTAACCCAACTAAAAACAACTAAAACACCCAAGCTGAACCACCAAACCTCAAAAAATGATGACAACAAAACAAGGACCTGGAAACCACTCTAAACCAACTAAGCCCCAAAACACACCGAAACACCCGGAGCCACGTGGCGATTTCTTTCCCTGCCAACTCGGCCATTTGATTTGAGGGCTCCAGGCGGCTCGCTCCTCGCCTGGTACTGGGTGAGGTTTGGCCGGAACTGGGCGTCCCAGAAGCCCTCGGAGCTGCGCAGGCCCTTGAGGCGGCTGTAGTACCTGCCGGCGCTTGGGCGCTTCGCTTGGCGGAAGCGGCAGCCGCAGCCGCGCGACCCGTTTGGGGCACCAAAGCAAGTCCCAGAGAAAACCGCCACTGAAAGGGGGGAGGGAAAATTATTTTGACTGTGTCTGGAGGTTAAAGTCACAAACTGGCTTGGTGGTTTCCCCTAAACCCAGCACTTGGGAGGTGTCTTTGATGGTGAAATAAAGTGGCCAGGATGTGGCGGCAAAAACCGCGAGCGAATCTGGGGACACCACAGGGGATCTTTTGGGATTTCTTGGGCACCGCGAGCTCAACTCTACGCTCGTATACCTGCACCCTCAATCTACCCGTGGTTCCGAAGCACGTCTTAACTGGCCGCTTGCCTCCCCAAATGAGCACTATCTAGGAACTCATAGCGCTTTGTACATGTGCTTTCCTTACAACATGCATTCCAAACAGGTCAGTGAAAATGTTGGAGTGGCCCACACGTGTTTGAACCTCAGGTGTCAACACAGGCATACTACGCTTGCGTGTTTCGAGCATACTCTGCTTGCGTGTTTCTCCACTGCACATGATGTTGCTATTCCACAACCAAGACAGGAACCAAAGTAGCCTCCCACAATGATCGGTTTGGGGTTCCATGCCAATCGGAGAACCCAGAATGAACCCGGCACCCCCGGCACCGCTGGACTGGTTGGACCGGCGCACTGCGCTACTGCCGTCTCAACCTCCGGGCGCGAGGAAGCTGGAAAAGTTATCCTCTGCATATTGATGCGTCGTTTTTCCCCAACAGCTTTCCCCAACTGAAAGCTATGGGGTCCCTGCGGTAGGCTCTGGGGTGGCTTGGGGCAGCTTTCAGAGAAGGTTCCAGAGGGTTCCAGAAACAACCCGGGCTGTTGGGGATATCACCTGGGCTTGTAGAGAAGTCAGACCGCGGAAAATGGATTTTGGGGATTTAGGTGTTCCTTTTGGTTTCCCCGTACAAAACCCAGCAACAAAAGGGGTAGCAAACAAAAAGAAGAAGGACGCACCCAAATAGATGATGTTCCACTTTCTACCGGAAATCATGGAATACATACATCGGCCCCATCCTTCCTATACATTGAGGCTCCACTTGGCAGTTGGCATGAGGTCTGTTAGACCTCCGCCCCCCACCCCAGTGAGGCTTTGCTGGCTCAGAAGCCTAGCGGAGGGACAAAGACAAGGCGCTTTTTTATTGTGCGACTTTAAAGGGGAAAGCCTCCACCCCCTTGTTTAAGTGCTTGATTCTAAAGATCAAGCCTCGCACCCCTCTCAACAGGAAAGCTTCGCCCCCCGCCCCTAAAACAACAGACAACTCCCCCCGCCCCCAAAAACAAAACACAAAAGAAACAACTCCCCCCTCCCCCCCCCCAAAAAAAAAACAGACGAAATGAACAAGGGTGCTGGGCATCTGGATTGGGAAGTTTGGCCAACACCATCCTCCCAAGAGTCGGGCCAAAGCCAAAAGCGCCAAAGCCAACATCGCCCATGGCGGGCGGGCGGCCACCGACTAGCCAGCAGGCCGTTGCAAACGTGGTACATTCAGGCGCTGCTATGGTGTATGTGTGTGTGCGCACAGGTTTCAGAGGTTAGAATAATTTGGACCGGGGTTGGTGGGTGGGTGAGTGGGTGGGTGGGTGAGTGGGTGGGTGGGGGGGGGGGGGGTGAAAAGTATTCAGGCATGGCAGTTCTATGCACGGTGAGTCCGACATTTGCGAGGCTTCAAATATTTGACTGGTTTGTTCTCAACATAGGTGAAAATGATGGATGTGTTTGCCCACGCATGCTCTTCGTGGAAATGTATTGCTATTTGAGCATGATGCGCACGTGCAAAACTTTCGCAAATTCCAGGAAAACACAAGCGGCGGAGCTTTCGCATCCCGGCGTTCAATCAACCTGTGACTCTGTGCCCTTGAAGCAGTTTCTGTAAAAGGGTCAGCCGGTTGCTGAATCCCTTTGCGAGGCCCTGGCATACCTTATATAAAAAGGAAGCCTGCTGGTCAAACGAGTCGCGTTTGCAATCACATTTCTCCAAAGTCTGACATGAGCGTTGGTGAAAACTCTAAACTCTGATGGCCAAAGGCGAACTGAAGCCATGCAACCTGCAGCCTTTCATTGGCCAAACCCCAGGGTTTGGAGAAGAAAAACCAACCGAGCCACCTATGGCCAATTGGTTTCTGAGCGCTGACGTGAGAACGTGCCCAGCTTAGGGAAAACGGGGGATGGTTAATCAAGTTGTTTTGGACGTGCAAGTCTTTTCAGACGTGAAAAGTGGGTTCACCGGGCTGCTGAAAAGTAGGAATTATGACATCTGCGTCAAGGATACCACTGGAAACTGCTTGTGCTTTCCTGGCGCCAGCTCGAGATTGAACCATATGACGTGTTCTTGGCCTTCCCTCATGCTACGCCAAACACCACCCGAAATCCGAAAATTTACAACATTTGTTTTGTGGGAGGAAAGGCCACTGTTCGGTTTGACGCCGCCATTTGTCAGTGGCCTCTCCAGCGTCTCAGGCAAAGCCGCTCCAGAAACATCGCATTCCAGTTGCTCGCTGAGAATTCTCCAAAGCTCAAGCAAAAAGGGAAACAGTCAGCTGGTGAAGCCATTTCCGCCCGGAATTCGCGCCGAATCTGCCTAAGCGGAGTCCCACTCTCACCTGTGCCAAATGTCCGCCACAGGTCGACGCTGCACATTCATGGATCAGCGATTCGATCTGCTGCTCTCTGCGTGGCTTCTTGTCCTTCAGAAGGGATCCGCCCGAATCGTCGTTCTGCTCGCCGTTGGGAACACGGTCTCGTGCCTTGCGCCTGCGCCGCGAAAGCCCAAATCAAGTGCTGGCATTCCACTTCGCACCAGATGGGATGGATGAAGCACTATGAATGCTAAAATCAACCTATACCAGCAAGTGCAGGAATTCGTCCATCCATATTATCACAACAATGTATTCTTAAAAGGGATGCATGAGACCAAATCAATGGTCATGGATAGAAGGACTCCCAGGATTTGCCCAGATGACACGAAAAGTCTGGCAAAGCGGGTGGATTCGGAGCCACTCGCAATCCTCTGAGACTCGGCTAAGGAAAGCCACGCAAAAACGAACTTTTTGGGGGGGACGGGGTCCGATTCGTAAAAAGACACACCTGGACATTCCAACGAGTACTACTTTCTTGTGGTTTCTGCTCTTGCCTTAGTTTACAACGCAAACACCTGCAACTTGCCATAAACGCCTCAGCAACGAACAACGCCCGCAAATGGCCGTGCAACGCCCGCAAAAAGCCGCACAAAGGCCCACACCTCACAAAAGATTTAATCGCCAAGAACGCCTTGAACCGGGGGATTTAGGTAATAGATTGAGGCCCAAGAACCTAGGCCCTGTATTTTGCTTCCAAGAATAACCCCCTAGAAAATACTTAAACGCCTACGCAAAGGAATGTCCATGCGGGCAAGTGGTTGTGATGGGCACTCAAAGACTTGTCACACCCCCAGGATCCGATTCGATGATGGAAGGCCCAGTCCCACCCCAAAAGGGATCCTTGGGGTGTCTGCGCCCTAACTTCGAACTACGAAAGAGAAACCGCCAAACCTCTTCCCTGGGGTTCAGTTACCATCATTAAAACAATGGGGTTCATTTTTAACCACCATTGTTTGCCGTTCAGGAGTGGCATCGTCCAAATCGGGTCAACCATTCTAGAACTGGGGGCAAGGAACCCTTGCAAGATGCCATTGCAGTGGTTTTGCTGGCCCAAAGGAGGTGGTTTGAACCCAGACTCTGCGCATAGCCCCAAGTTTCACGACAACGCAGTTCACATACAGAAAATCGAACTCGTCTGTTTCTGGCCCCACATGGGACATAGGTCAAACGCCCGGTTAGCCCCTAGTGAACATCCCAATTCCCACTAAAATAGGTTCTGAAATGGGTGGTGCACCTAATTACCCCGAAATGGGATCCCATTGGTTTTGACAACCACAGCCACATGGCTTGGGTGAGTGGTCACTTGCTCCGGCGGCCCGGCCTCAGCTCACGCCGCCTTATCGGGCTCCGACACCATGGTCTCAGAGGCGCCCGCGAGCGACGCCATCTCCGTGGCGGTGGGGGAGTTGGGGCGCGAGGGCTCCTGACGCGTCTCCGACGAGGGGATGTCACTCTCAACTTCGGGCTTTGGACCCTAATTATTGTGGCTTTCAGGTTGGGCCTCCGTTTATCTAAGCTGAACATGGCACCCTCAACAACAAAGACACAAACACAGAGACAAACAGACACACTTCTCGGAATTTTGCCTTGTTGGGCAATAGGAAAACACAGGTATAACCTATGCCCGTCTCCTTTCTAAAGGGCTCCAAACTAAGGATTCCGCTAGGCCCGACCCCTCCGAACCCAAAGAGACCGCTGAGAGCCGCCGTCCTCGTCTGGCTCCAGCTCGTCGTCATCCTCTGGCTTGGTGGACAAGGCCTCCTTGATCGCCTGAAGTTGCCGTTTGCCTCTGTGCAAATAGGGCGTTCCCCAAAATGGGTGGGTCCCCAAATACGGGGCTCCCTAAATGTATCCATGGAAATTGCGGCTTCTCCAAACTTGCTGGCTTCCCTTTGTTTTGGCCTTTTAAATCAACCTCAAAAAGGGCACCCGCAAGAAACACACACACACACACACCAAATTGAGCCAGGGTGAACAGCATGTCCCATGATCCAAACTCTTGTATGGCCATGAGCCATGGTGACAGTAACACTGCAGTAGAAGTCGTTTTTGTTGACCTCCATTTGCTTAGCGCCCCTGCAAAAATGAGAAAATATGTCCAGTGAAATCGATTCCCGCTAAAACCAGCAAGGGAAAATCTAAATAGTCTGCAACGCACCTGGAAGCTGATGGTTGTCCAATTTCTGGTTCTTGCGAGGTTCATGACTGGCCCCACCAATCCAATGACCGGGTGTTTTGACCATGGCGCCCAGGCTAAAACTACTTGGCAGCTTCCCTGCTGTGTGTGTGTGTGTGTCCGTCGTTCCTCATGCGTAGGCAACTGAACGACCTGCCCTGTGGCAAAAGTAAGGACCTGGCTGGCGGTCCACAAGTATGCAAGCAAGCAAGCAAGCAAGCAGGCAGGCAGGCAGGCAGGCAAGCAAGCAAGCAAGCAAGCAATCCCCTTTTAAGCAGGCACGCACGCACGCACGCACGCACGCAAGCAAGCAAGTCAAGAGCCACTGTTTGGGTGATTTAAGAGCGACACATCCATATTCACCAAATTGGGTTCCCAGTCCATGGTCTGTGGTTTAAAACATGTTTGCCAATTTCCCAACACATGGTCTGTCTGTGTGTGTATGTCGTTTTGTCTCAAAAGCATAGCCCCTTGCTGCCCTGGTGTTCAAATCGGGGCTGGAACGAAACACGCAAACAACCCTTTGAACAAACACACTGTTGTCGGCCCGGTTTAAAAAAAACGAAACGAACACCTTTTGACAAAAATACAGTATGTGAAACACCAAGTATGAACAACACGAAACCCCAGCTTTTTCGCACCAACCTGGATTCATGCTGGCTCGGCCACCCCAAATCATAGATACGATTCCAGTGCCTCACCCCTTGTGCCCCTTGCTACGGAAAGAGGTTCACCAAGGAAAGCCAACAGGGAGCCCACCTGAATCCTTGGAAATTTCCGAAGCCACTTGAATCGCGTTCGTTAACTTCCAGATGCTCCCGATTAATTTAGCCCTCAAACAGCCAGGTTTTGAGACCCCTAAACACCTCCGAGGTGTGTAATGGAGGGGTCTGGCTACGGCCCCCTTCGTTTGCCACAACCAAAGAACGGCGTGTTTCTTTTTTCATATGCCACGGTTTAAATTACGAAGGTTTATTATGTGGGATATTTAGCGAGCTCCCCCCCCATCTCCCTGCCACGGTCGACCTCATGTGCGGGCCGGGGTTCCTAAGCCTTTGGGATGGGCGAAAACAAGTGGAAGATCGTGGCTGCCTGTAAGGGAAGGCTTGGTTTACCCTCCCAGAAATCGTCTCACAAGTATCTGGAGCTCGGCCAAAATGGTGGCATGCGCAAAGGAAAGGGGGTAATGACCCACATTTAAGGGTCATGGAGACTCGAGATACTGTCCCTTTGGCCATGGGCCGTCCAAATGCCAAACCAACACATGCCGTTTCCCAGGTGATAAACAAACAGGGATCCATCCCCTCGTGGCTTCCTTTCAGGAAAATCGAGCCTTTTTGTGCTATTTCGCAACACCGGTTTATAAAATTCAGTACTTGGCCCAATGATGAATGCTTTCATTTCCCTGTGAAGGGAACGTTTTCCAAACCACACCATTGTGGGCCGTAACGCTGGTGGCAGGAATCCAGGAGCTGGGGTTTTGGGAAAAAGCAGCCTCAGATTACAACAGCAAGAACACCCCAAACCAGGAACCAGGTTTCAGAAGGACGCACCACTTGGGGGCTACAAAAAAACGGAACCAGCCCTTCCTCACGCGCGCGCGCACGTCCGGGGGCTCGAGTTCAAGTTCGAATTCGTGGCCTCAACCACCTCCTTGTGGACGCTGGCTTCCGCGAGCTGCAGCGGCGTATAGCCGTGGAAGTCCTAGAGATCAAAGGCTGGACCTTGGGGTTGGGGGGGGGGGTGGGTCTGGGGTTGGCTGGGGGGGAGGGTGGGGTTGGGGGGGGAGGGTGGGGGGAGGTGTTGGATTCCAGAAAACCAAAGGCGCAACTGGGGGGCTGAATCCTGGAACGGTCCAAACGATTGAAGCCATCCAAACCCAAGTGTAGGTGTCTCTTTGAGGCGAAAGCTACCCACAACCGGTTTGGTCGGCTTCGGAAATCCAAACGGACCAAGCGGACCAAAGCCTGTGTGGGCCCCATGCTTTTTGACGCATACCCATACTGGCCGGGAAGATCACCTATTGGTTGGGCTCCAGTTCCATGCTTTTTGACGAGCCACACCATTGCCACAATTAGTACCTCGCAAATGGCCGCTGACTCCAGAAACCTTTTGCAAATCTGTGGCCAAGGCGTGCCAAAGCCATAGGGAAGAAGGCCGTGACCCTTGCTGGGGATCAAGCAAGGGGTTGACACACGAAGTTGACAAGAAAGGTGTTGACAAAACAGGTGTTGACACAAGGGGCTGATAAAAAGGGGGTTGACAAAAAAGTTTTGACCTTGTCAGCTTGTTGCTGAATCCTGGGGAGCCCAACGCTTGCCTCTAGACGCAGACTCGAATCAAACATGAATTTGGGGGCCATATGTTTGTCCTATTCGCCCCCCCCCCCCCCCCAAAGGCAGCACGCTACCTTGGCAAATACTCCGAGTATGATTCAATAACCAGACATAAGGAATCCTCAAATCTGGGATCTGCAGAACTTGTCTTGCTCTCAGGAAAGCTCGTTATACCCTTCCCACCGTTGAAATGGAACCAAGTCACTTGAGCACAACCGCCGAAACCAGTGGCTACCAGCTACGTTCCAAGGAGGGTGTTGGTGGTGGTGGTGGTGGTGGTGGTGGTGGTGGTGGTGGTGGTGGTGGTGGTGGTGGTGGTGGTGGTGGTGGTGGTGGTGGTGGTGGTGGTGGGGGCGGCGGCGGTGGTGGCGGCGGCGGGGGTGGTGGTGGTGGTGGTGGTGGTGGTGGTGGTGGGGGCGGCGGCGGCGGCGGTGGTGGTGGTGGCAGCGGCGTCGGCGGTGGTCGTGGTGGGTTTTGCCATCTTGTTGTGTACCACTGAAATTGTCTTCCCGAAAAGTTCCACGTCCATGAACGCGGCAACAAGGGTATCCCCCCGCCAAAAAAAACCAACAACTTTGGCTTTCCCTGTCCAAAACGACAAACACAAACCCACGAGGTGCAAGCCGCGCACGGCAAACGCTTCCGGACGACTTGTTTTTTCGGGCCACCGGCCTCCGCCTCAATGTGCCGCCGCTTGAACCTGGGATGCCTGAACGGTTGCGGGAATTGGCAGGGAGACAGCTTGCAATTGGATTGGGATGTCTCCTCTACGATACCCTCCACAAGAACCAGGGGTTGAAACCCATGGCTGCCAGTGTCATCATACAGGGGACTAGCCTGCTCCAAAGCGTCGCTTTGGGTCCAAACCAAAAATGCGACCAATCCAAACCGCCAATCAATGGCTACCTGAAGGAACGTATTCCGATTTCGAAGGCTGCCCAACCACTTCCCGGAGAAAGTCCATTCCGAGCTCCGTCTTTCGTTGAGGCGCGGTGCCCTTATTGCACGGTGTTAAAGGACAACTCAAAAATGAAAAAAAAGGAACCAAAAAGAAGTTTGGGGGGGTCCGCTGAAAAAGACTTCCCCAATGTGCAGGACTCCGACAAGACAGTCCATGGGAAGAAACCCATTGTCACCCGATCTTGGTCGTGCGCGCGGTTCATGTCAATGAAGCATTGATGTAGAGCTCCCTACACTTGCCAGTGAAACATCATCCTTCCTGTGGCGGCCTTGCTGGGTCAAAGGACCTAAGGGTCCTTTTTGGCTATTGTGAGACCCACCCTGTTTTAAATGAAAACCGAAAGAACATCAACCATCTGCAGAAGAAAAACAAACAAGCAATATAATTCACAAGCTGGAAAAAAGGAAACACACAGTAGTTAAATGACCTGCGTGGGTTTTCGCTACCCCTGGAACGGGAAGCCCATTCTATAAAAGTGCAGACCCTCGTGGATGGCTACCCCCACTGCAACTGATCTGCAATGGCTTCCCCCAAATACTCCAAGCACACGTTTGGCCGTCCGTCCCAAAGCAGCCGCGGTGCGCCAACAGGCGCCGGGCGGTTTCCTTGTCCCCCCAGCAGGCCACGTAGTGCAGGGCGTTGCGGCCCTCAAGATCCTTCCATGGATTCGGATCCGGTCGAGGGACCCTTCGACTGAGGGACAACAGGAACCGCCGCCTCAAGAGCCCCGAGGCCAAAAAGGGACTTGGTCGGGAGCCTTGGGTAGTCCCATGTCAGTTTGTTTCCCTTGGGCCGTTTGGTTTCCATTTGAGGGCGATGAATATGCGTGTCCAATTCATGTGAAATGTCCTTCCTTGGTAGTGGACTGATTCTAGAGGAAATGATCTTCCTGGCCCCCCGCCCCAGGCAGGTTCCATGCTCGCGGATGGGAGGCTAAACTAGCTCAGCTTGCCCCGAACTGGTGGGTTGGATTGGGGGTTTGGATCCTAGCGGATGGTTTCAGACGAAGCCTTGGGTTCAAATCCAAATCCAGACCCACCAATCCAAACCACGAACTAAGTGTTACCTGATCAAAATGTTGGGCACACCCCCTCCCCTCCCCCCCCACCAAAATAAGGAAGGAAACGGGGGACACCCTCTCCCCCTTGTCACACACCCCCAAAGAAAAGAAAAGAAACGAAAGAGGGAACCAGGGGACAAGAACGAAACAAAGCAGGTGAGACTGAGACCGTGACTTCCATTGCATAAGCCACAAGGGCAAAAAACACATTTCCAGTAGTGATAGATTCCCTCTAAAATCAACGAGGAAAAATCATACATATTCCTCAGCAAATGGAAGGTGAAAGCTGAACTTGACACTCCACGTCCTTCTTGTACACCGCTTGGAAGTTTTCACTCTCCAGCAAAATCTCCGCACTCTCCTCGGTCTCGGCGTACAAGCGGGCGAAACCCGATGCCCGTGTGGCTATGCGTTTGTTGGTTCACCAAGCTCTTATTGGAGCTCCTGTAACAATTTAAGGGGGGCGGATCATATTAAAGGAGATCTAACATTAGAGTTTTCTGCTGGAACATCATCTTGCTGGCACTACGAAGGGCATGATCCAGGGTGTGGCACTGAACCGGAAGGGGATTCCCGAATAAAGGAAACCACAGGCCACGGTTTTTCTCGGGCTCATTCCCTGCTGAGAACCAGCACGTCATCTCGGCTCAAAGTGATTAGACTCCCCCCGTTCGAGGAGGTCCCTTTCTGGCCTCATTATTTTACCGTGATCAAAGTCACCCCCTAAGTGGTGGGTTAAAGGGAAACAACCTCATTTTCTGCTAGGTCCTCCAGCAGAGAGGTTAGAATAAGGCTGCCGTTTTTCTGTAGTCTATTTTAGTAGGGAACCCTCCCCCAAAAAAGGGTAAAAGGGCACTACTGGGGGCCTAGTCTGACTTTGATAACCCCCAGAAACCGTGAAAATAATGACCCCAGTTTCTTCCCTGTCAAAGACGCCGCGGTCCTTACCTCAACTTGGTGGCTTGTGGATCTCTTGCCAAAGTTCTTGACTCTAGGCTGGAATTAGGACCCCAGCGGAAAACAAGCCTGGTTAGTGGAACACAAAGGAACCCCAAACAAGCAAAAAAACAAAACAAAAAGGGGAGCTAATTCTGGGGAAGGACTTTGGTGGGAGATGGAAATAAATCCCTCGACTCAGTTGCCCCTTAGGAGCCCAGAAATAATTGGTGATCACTCTTCGGGTTGCCATGACTTAAAGACTTAAACTTGGAACCCAAATAGGGAAAACCAAAAAGGTCGAAAGGTCGATTCTCTTTGGGCAAGTGAGTCTAAACTCTGGAAGTATAAAAGTTGAATGGCTGGGAACCACCAAGTCAAATGGACATACCCCAAAATCGCCATCGAGTTATACAGGAGTTGTAAGATTGACTCCGAATGAACAAAATGTTTTATTCACAGAGGGGTGTTTCCCTCCAACTGTGATAATTCCCGACCTAACAAAAGGGACCCCCCCCCATTCATCAGCCAGGGGTTGATGTATCCGGGGTTCCCATTACAGGGGCAATCCAAGTGGGCATTAAATATAAATATAGCCAAAGTGGCTCCAATCCTTGTATATGGCCAAGTGGGCATAAACAATTGCCAACAGACAGCCAGTGCTCAGCCAGGATGCTCGTTGCCAGGCTGTGCACCTGGTGACTGCCGACATGTTTGGGTTCAAGGGAGGGTCCCAGGAGTTCCCTCAGATGCGTTCCCAGCAGGCTGTGTCCAGGGAATACACCTGGTTCACGGGTTGAATACGCTTGTGGGATGTCACAGACATGTTCTTACCCCTGTTGGTCCATGTCTAGTAATCTTCAAGCAGTCCCTTAATATCCTACAGCCCAGATTCGCCATATCCACACCGCGTTCTAGATGAAATGAGGCTTAGCCACGCGTAAGGGGTATCCAGAGTTTGACTCGGGGTTAGCTGGGGGGTTTATGCAGAGTTTGACTCAGGGTGGGTTACTAGCTCGGAAATTCCTGGACCAAAGTTCACTGAGGTAAAGTGAGATAAGGATTCTCAAATGCCTTGGGGTTCAGTTGCCACCATTCAAGCAAAGGGGTTAATACAACCACCTTTCACCTCAGGAGTTGCATCATCCGAATTGGGCCAACCATTCTGTTGACTTGAGGAGCGGGTGAACGAAAGCTAGCAGTTGTTGCATGAGATGGGTCGGTGACAGAGTGGATTCATAGGTAGCTTGTGTACAACGAGAGGCCCGGCAAGATTCGTAGGATGCGACACGCAAACGCACATGGTGGCGTGGCAAACCGTGAAAAATGAAAACAACGAGAGGCGTCAGAAGCTGTCTTAAAGCACCTCTGGGTTCTGCATGCTGCGTGTGCAAAGATTCTTGCGAGGTGGTTTACTGAGAAGACTGAGGTCTCAAATGAACAAGCTGAATCGGTGGAACCTGTAAAAGTTCGTAGCACCAAGTCCAAAACGGGCAAACCGAGACTGCTGAAACACTGAGCCACTGCCCGGGGGGAGGGGTGGACCAAGGAGGAATCGAGCCTGAGACCGGGGGGGGGGGGAGGGGGGGGGGGTCTAAATAATTGATTTGTTTCAATCTTTTCGGCTCAAATAATTGAAAAAATCAATCTTTCGGCAGTTGAGCCCCTTACCTTGCTTACGCAAGGAGAAACTTCAGCTAGCTAAAGCTAGCTTTCGTGATGAGGTTGAACTCTATGGAATGGGTTGTCCGTCTCACCCATGTTGCAAGCTTGGCAAAAGGACATCGGCCGATCAGGCAGTGCACGCTTCACCATTTGTGGGGTTAAGACGTATACCTGGACACTCAAACTACCTTCAAAAATGGAAAGCACACCGTTGTGTTGGGGCAATATCCAATATTTATGGGTAGATTGAGGGTCCAGGTGCCTATATCATGTTGTTGTTGCCGTACATTTTGAGAGGACACCAACCTAGAATCATGGGCGGAAAGGTAACACTAAACAATTGGTAGGATGTGTGCACCTCACCATACATGAATCTGAGAAACACAAAACGTCAATTTGCTTGAGGTGTCATTGCAAATGTGCCCTTTGAATCACCCGAGGAGAGCAAAGGCTTCCCAAGCTTCCTTTCGAACCTTTCTGGTGGGGGCGGGTTGTCTCTAAATCGAAGAAACAGCCCAAACACCAGCCCAAACACCAGCCCAAACACCCAAAAACGGGTGAACATAGGCAAACAGGGACACGGAAAAGGTCAAAAGGTCACGGCCACTGAGCCACATCGAGGGGTTGCCTGTGGAAAATGAAACCATCTTAGATGAAGCCTAGGGACCGTTGCGCCAAGCATCAAAAAGTGATCTATGCCGTCTATACCCGATGGGCTGGTGTGTCTTTGTGCACCCAAACCAGTGGTTCCCTTTGGGTTTCCCTTTAACTCACTTCCTGAGTGGATTGGCCAGAAAGGAAACACAAAAAACAACACGCTTGACTTACCACTCAACTGGTCTTTCCAAGTTTAAAGTCCATGGACTCAGGAGGCGAGCTAAACCCAAGCCCAGTGTGAGACAGGCCATGCCAACCAGCAGTGACTTAAGTTCTGTCCGAGGGTCGCGGTATGCAGCGCCGTCTGCCCCGCACGGTCACGGGCGTTGGTTCGAGTGAACTCCTGGTAGTCCGAACACGAGAGCTGGTGTTGAAATGGTCCACAAGTGGTACGGTCTGAAAGGAACCTGCAGTCACAATCAAAACCTCTGAAAAGGGGAACAAGGTTCGTCATAATCACCTGGCGTTTCCCACAACCCATGCATAAGAATCTACTAGGGCTGAACTCTACCTGTTTAGGGCTGGGACTCTCGCTTCTAACCTTCCTCTACCCAGGTATTTGATTGTGGCTCAGCTGGGGGGGTGTGGGAGGGTGGGGTAAGCAAGCTGCTAAAAAACATCCTCATGTTGGTTCACTTGGGTGTCATTTTCTACACGACCCGGAAAATTGTGGTTTTCCTGTTGGTTTCCCGTTCAAATACCACCAAACAAGCCCTAAGTGGTACCAACTCTTTAGAACAACAGACCAATTTACCTTCAAAAGTGGACCACCGATTGATTCTGACAAGCATTGCCCAGCCCTCGGGGCGAGCGATTTACCGGGCCCTTAGTCCCAGCGACTCAATGCAATGTTGAGACAAAGCGTGGATGTTTGAATGTACAAAATCATTATTCCTTGTGCCAAAACGTGACAAAGACCAAAATGCTCCACAATACGTTGACCCTGCCTCCCTGTTTCCCAATCCGTGTAACTCTTGCAAGCCTCCCCCACTGCGCCCTGCGTCAGCCGCCTGATATCCTTGTTCTAGGGGACCGCAAAAGCTTGGTTTGCTTTCTTTAAAACAACAAATACGGCGCCCTCAAAAAGACAAGCCACCCATAACTTCCATTTGCTTAAGCCCCCTGACAACTTTTAAAACCAACGGGACACATTCTGACAGCTTGTGCGGTTGATTACCCTCCCACCAATTAAACCTGAAGGCTCCATGGCACAGAAACCAAGGTCTCCCAAGTGGAGTTCGCCCGGAAGGTGCTTAAGCCCCCTGCAAACAAAAAAAAAACATATTTCCAGTAGTCGCAGCCTCAAAAACATGTTTTCCTGTTGGGTTCCCTTTAAACAAAAATGGCACCCTCAAAACGCCAGCCACATAGCCCACCCGTGCAGCAACCTCCCAGCCACTCTCGCGCCTCTTTCACCAGCAGCTCCTGCAGCACACTGATCTCACAGCGCCTGACGGCCCGGTGCAGCAGGCTGGCGCCCGAGTACCTGCCAGTGGCATGGGACGGGCTGAGTCGTCGCCCTTCTCATGGGGGCTGCGGAGGGGGGGGGGGGGAAGCGGGGGAAGGAGAGGGGAGAGGGGGAGGGGGGGAAGGGAAGGGAGGGGAAGAGGGGGGGAGGGGACAACTAAACACTGTATTGAGCCCTTAATCAGGCCTGATTGAGGGTTTAGTTGGGCCCCCCCCCCTGACCTTCAGAAGATGCAGTTTACAGAAAGTCGGGGGAAAAAACAACACACGGATGTCCAGACCAGCAGCCCCCAACTTGCCTGCTTTTTCAACCTCCCAAGTTCGGCAACAAAAAAGCAGTTGGGACCCGGGTGTTGGCTACTGATAGATTCCCTGGGAAACAAAACCAACGGCGAATGGAAGTTACTGGCGGACTCTACGGAACCACTTGAGGTCCAAAGGTGAATTGAGGACGTGTTGGTTTGGGAGGATTCGGGGCATTGGGCGAACCAGCCGCTTGTTTTGACAAGTTGTGGAGGGCATTGGGGTGGTCGTGGCTCTTGGGGGAGATGTTGAAACTTCTTCGAAATGACATATTGTATGAATCTACTTGGGGGCCCTTCGATGAAACATCCCTTACCTTTGTCTCAAAAAAAGACCCCGCCCACATGGTCGCTTTCTTCAACCACCAATCAGTAGTCAAAAGGGGGCAACAAAAACACACACTTCCGTATCTTGGGGACTTCTTAAACATTGCTGTTTTGGAACCTTTCATTCGCCGTAGTCCGGCCCGGCTGATTTGGCGCGCTTCCCGCCTCAGTTTCACGTCGAAGTCGTCCTCTTGGACGTTCTCCTCGGTGCATCACCCCTAGGGACACCTGGGGGGACGTTTCAAACCGCCCTTGGGTGACGTTCCCTCCACGAACATAGCATTTTTGGGAAGGTAACTAGAAGATCGATTTCCTCTGGGACCATCTTTCACCCAAAGGCTCCAATTGAATTAATTTAGGGCCCTACATCCAGGTTTTGAGACCTCTACGCTGGAGGCCTCTGGGAAAATGCTATGCGCTTTACACTGCTGCCAAAGAACCTTGAAGTGCCTCACAGTTCAGCGTGAAAATTTCCCCTCCAGCACTAGCGTGTGACGCTGAGGAAACCGTCACTTTGTCAAGCATGCTTTGTCGACTGTCTTCTTGGTTGTCTCAAGCGATGTACCCACGTGGTACATCATGAACTTCTGCAAGCTGGGCGACGACACAAACAAGCCTCAGTGCATCTCGCCTCAATTCTTGGAGTTGGCATTGCGAGCCTCCACCGTTTTCAGTGCGGCGAAAGATTCAAGGCTTCCTCCACGGTGTCATACCCGATGGTAGTCGGGAGGGAAGAAGATGTTGCTCGTGTCCCCGTTCTTGGGACCCGTCTGGCATAGCATGTTCTTGGGAGATGCACACCTAGGTCCTCCAGTAGAGAGCTTAGAATAAGGGTACCCTTTCTTCTGTAGTCTATTTTAGTAGTGGAACCCTCCCCAAAAAAAAGGTAAAAGGGCACTACTGGGGGACCTAGCGTTAAGAGTGTTGTGCAACCACTTCGTTGGCATAGCCCCCCACATCCTGAGGTGTGATGCCAACAAACTTCACCAGGGGGCCATGCGCACAGCTAAGCTCGCAAGACTTGCCATAAGCCCCGAACGCCAAAAACTAAAAGTCCGGGGGTCACGAAATATAGCGTTGGGAGTGGCTGAGTTCCACTTTGGCACCCCAATTCGCCATGAGCTAGCCGTATCAGTCTACCTTTGACAAGCCAAGCCCATGAAACTGGGCTGTCCGTTTTCGGATGCCCCGCTAAGAGCTGTCAACTTTTACTGGGTAAAAAGGAAATCCCCACTAAACACTAAAAAGCTAAAAGGCTAAGGAGATGGATGGGAGCCACCAACAAAATGGGGTGGTCTGAAACTGAGCCAAGTTGGGAGTAACTCGTTCTTCCAAACATGGGTGTTTCTTTGGCTTCCCTTTAGGCCACGCGGAAAACGGTATGAGTACCCTCCCAAACACACTCACCTTGGCAAAAAAATGATCATCCCCTTCACCGAAAAGAAAAAACATGTGCCACCCACTCCCCCGGTGAGCGCCGCCGAGTTTTGTCAAGCATGAAACCCGTGAGGTGTTTGCATGTTTGCACCAGCTCCTGTTGGTCTGTTCTGGGTTCGATACAAAGGAAAAACATAAAAAGACAAACGTAATGATCCGCTGGTAGTTTTCCTCTAATAACTAGTCAAGTCTGGGGTGACGAAACAGGTCTGGTTTGCTTAAAACCCAGCGGATCCCAGTTGTTTTCTGCTAATTCTACCACTGCTGCAGTTGCAATGAGCCGTCTTCATATGCTGGTTGTTTCTAAATTGTGGTTTCCCTTTGCCTACCCAGGACAAATCATTCGAAACTTGTTCTCTCGCCTACAAAGAACATCATTTTGGGATATTTTGGGCAAGTTTCGCCCATTTCGCCCGTTTCGACTCTCGAGGAGTTTTTCTCGAAACGGGCGCCGGCTCGCCTTCTTCATGAAGTTGTCGAGGCGGAAGGGCTTGTGCACCACTGTCCTGGGCAAATGTGAGTGACAATCAACCCGGTATTAGAATGGTCGACCCAGAACCATGCTTCAAGAATTAAGAAGGCGGATATCCGCAGCTATTTTCTGGCTGGGAGTATCCCTAATCTCAATCTACCCGGGTTTTGATTGCGGCCAAGGCACCCGTTTGGTTGGAACATAGACGGATTTCCCAATATGAAACCAGGTCAGGTCCCGGCCATCTGTTGTCTATCAATCCAAAGAACGCCCATAGATGGAAAAACCCTGGTAAATGGTCTATGAAACCCATCTAAACCAGTGGAACCCAATCTATTTCTAACTGAACCAGCCTAAAAAGGACGCCTATGGACGCCTATTCGATTCGTGATTCTCTCAAGCTCCAAGGGCTCCAGTTTCGCCCAACGCTGCCCACTTTTCTTTGGGTGTCTTCTGGGCTGTCCGTTTGGTGAGATCTGCCCCTGACTCATTTTGTGGGCCAAGGTCAGAATCTCAACCACTAAAACCAACAAAAGACAACCAAGACGATTCGCTGTGCAAGTCTTGAGGCTGCAAATCCGGCAACCGCCGGAAGCTACGGAGGTTTTGTGGTTCGTCTTTCGGGGCCGCATTCAGATGAAGTTCCCCCCCATTTAACGAATGATTAGGCGTCAACATCAGAAGCTGTCTCCAGGGCATTCGGCCGGTGAGTCGTGGCTGCTCCCAAGCAACAAGCTTCATTCCACAAGTCTGTCAGCAAAAGCTAGCCAGCGGAGCTCGCTCAGTGTCTCAAATCACACGCCATGCCCAGCCGAGCACGCGATGGCGGGGGTTGTTGAGTTAAGGGAAATTTGAGGTATGAGCTTTGAAGGTTTGCACGCTCAAGCCATTATGAGTTTATAAACCTCCAACACCCATACCTGACAATGCCCTTTGATTGGGAAAGAGGGTTTTTGGTTTTTTCTCGTGCGTGTCAGACACAACAAACTTTGACTGGGAGGCAAGGCCGCAATGGGGCTATGCTTCTTAGAGCAAAAGGCTCACTTCGGCCTGCTTCATTAGCGGATGAGTGGTCATGGTGATCTGAATATCGAGAGGAATGATGGGCGATCAAGTCTATGGCATCTGCAACCATTTACAAGACACACCTTCTGTTTGCCCCTAAAATTGTCTTCCCAAAAAGTTTCAAGTTCATTGACTCAGGAAGCGAGACAATGTTACAAGCGCTCACCATCCAGTGCTTGCACTCCCTTGTGCGATCGCTGGCCGGGACGAGCTGCCCATGCAACTCGTGTTTTACCAGAAATGCTTCAACAGCATTACACAACTGCTATGCTGGGTGGATATCCGCTTTATGCGGAACACCTCGTTTGGACACCCTCCCCGTAAAAATACCTTTCATTGTCCATGATTGGCTTTGTGCCACCAATGGTACGCCGACCGCACGTAACGTAAGTCTCCCTCTCGCCGAGCGGCATCTGAAGGCCATCCTCGCCCGATTCTTTAACGATCTCCTGGGAGCTTCGACAAGGAGTCTACCTGGAGTCTCCATGACCCTTCAAACATGCGGGCATCACCGAAGAGAAAGGGGGCATGCGTCTAGGGGTTGATTCCCCATTCTGTTCAACCATCGTTCTTCCAAATGCCTGGCATTTTCCGTCGGTTGGCGGAGGTTTTCTAGAAAGAAGGATCCCTGGAAAGAATGGGGAAGGTACCTCTAGAATGCGGGCATGCCCCCCTGTTTGAAGCTGTTTTGAAGGGTGATGGAGACTGCAGGCAGTCGGAGACGAGGCTATTTCGGGTAAGAAAACTGGCCGGCCTGGAAAGGGAAAAATACCATAGGCGAATCTGGTTTGGATGGTGCCGGGTTCATCACCATGACATCCTCCAAAAAATGCACCGGGAATGGCAGTTGTAAGGCAAACAACCCCTCAAACCTAAACAAATCCGAAGACTTCAGACGGTTGACTTGAATCGCCCAGTCCCTTGTCTGAACATCTGGTAAAGCCGAAAGGAGCGACCCTCAGAGTTGGTCCTCTGGGTCCCAAACAAAAGGATTCCAATAATCATGCAGAGATCCTGTAAGGGGGGTTCTCAACATGGTCCCCCAAACAATGGCTGGTGGAAATTGGGGGGCCGTGCCTTTCACTGAAAGGGGGTCCAGCTCGCATTTCGGGGTCCCTTCATGTTCAGAAGGAAGCCATCGCTTCCCGCCCCATGGAACCTGGGGCGGTCTTTGACAAGCTCCCTCCCAGGGGCGTCCCTTGGCACCCAATACTGGCGGTTTTGGCTTTGGTTCCAGGAATTTCGTCAATTGCAGATTTCCACATCAACAAAAATATGAGGTACTCGGACCCGTACGGCTTCTGGAAAAGTTGAACTGCTCTATTTGCTAGTTAACTAGTGGCTAGTGGGAACAAAACACAAATCGTAGCCCCTGTAAGTTAAATGGCTGAAGGTCGAACCAACGAGCAAAGGAAGAATTCCAGCAATTCCCTTCGCAAAATAAGTTGGAACGAAATCTAAAATTATTTCTACACCAAGGGAAATCCAAAGACTCGGTTTGCCTGTGCTTTCCCTTTAAACCAACCCCCCAAACAGGTACAAACTCCAATAAAGGGGCATTGTACCTTGCAAGTGGGCTTTCACCAGGCTTACAAACCACTAAGTACCCTACCAAAACATGGGGGAATCCAAACATTGGGGAATCCAAACATATGGGTGGTTTGCCAGCGCTTTCCCTGTCAAGCCACACCCGCCCAGCGGGTAGCAACCCAAAGGACGCCTCGCCTCCAGATCCGGCATGTTCAAGGGCTGAAAGGCATTCTCCTTCTGCGTCATATAGCCTCGGGTGCGAGATGGAAAAACAAAGCGGACATGCAGCATGCACAGCTTTTCCCATGGTAATATAATATGGGGCTATGTGTTGTTTTGTGTTTTTTTTCTCGGACACTCCACAAATGGTACTCCTTTGAGTTTTTGTTTTTACACGCAAACCAAAATGCGCGAAGCTTCCCATGCGGGTCCCTAAAGGCCCCCAAAGGTCCCTAAAGGCCCTAGGGTTCAACCGATTCTCACTGAATTAGAAATGCCGCGGGACCCAAATTGCATGATGACAGTCCTGAAGGGTAAACAATGGTGGTGCAATATATGAACCTAACCATTGGTTGAATGTTGTTTTGAAATTCAGCGTTATATTTGCGGATTTGGGACATCTGCAATTAACGAATTCCCTTGAACCTGGGGGTGCCAAATCGTGCTTGATCACGAGGTCCGGTAAACATGGGATGACCATTGGGAAAACCACAAGAAACATATTTGATATTTCCCACGTTATATACAGCAAACCAACTCCAGACGGATGGTTTTCTTTTGGAATCATCCGAAAACCATCCATGTTTGGAAGAATCTCCTGTTGGAGCCCACTATTAGAACTGTCCATGCTAACTTAAGCGTCAAAGCAACATGCTAGCCCTCAACAGGATGATACCAGGTTAGGGTCTGTTTGTTTGTGTCTGCTGTTTGGAGAATGGGATCATGGGATCCATTTTCTTGTCGAGGGGGAACAAAATGACCCTGAAATACACAAGCGGTCCAAAGATGAGAAAGGTGGTCAGAAGCTGAACCCTGAATGGAAGACAGGAAGAGTTCATCCTACAAGTAATATCACGTGACCAAAACCAACTGACTCTTGGTTCTACCAAAATAGTGAATTATAAAAGGTTTATAGAGGCCTCAGCATACCTCCTCATAAAACCAGGTCGAAACCCCGAACCACCAACTGCGGGCCGCGCAACCGAGACTCGGCCACCCGGCGCTTCGCAATATACTTCCCCTGGAAGAGGATGATCTGCTCTTCCGCCGGCACGTCGAACCTGGGCCGCACGTCCGGACAAAAAGACCACGCGTTGCGAAGGTGTCAATAACTATTTCACATCCCTTTTTGATATCCCCGTCAAGGGATGTGATTTCATGAGGTCCTTAGCCTTTCCAAGATCACATCCCAGCAAAATCGACCCTGGGAATGTGAAAAGGGGATGTGAATCAGTTTCTTGTTGGTTGAGAGGAAAATAGGGGAAACCCCAAAAAGGTGTCTTCTGGAATTGAAAAAAAAAGGTCAACAGTGCCATTTGCTTTGTGGGTCCCGGGAAGAAAAAACCATAAATGTGCCTCAAAAGCTAAATGTTGTTGTATAAGTACAAGTGGGATCAAGAAGCGACATATTCACCACAAAGGGGACAATGACTTGGTGGGTCCAAGTAGAGGCGTCTCATAAAGACTGGGTGCATGGGCCTCCACCCAACAAGCTAGTCCTACCAAGAAGCAACCCTGGGGATTGAAGATCTTCAACAGCCTCTGGTTTGGTTTTGTGCCTTAAGCATATTTCAAGATCTATTGTTTCAACAACCTCTTCGTGACATGTTGCCCACCCTCTCACAAAGCCAAACTTTGGGTTCGACTTTGGGAAATCAACCACCGGTTTGGCTGCCAGCGGTTCGACTGCTTTTACCCGGCTCAGTCTACCGGGAAATCAAAACAAGAGAACCTCGGAGCAGGTGCTTGGGCCACGAGCCGCATATCGGCAATGAACAGGTGCTGTTTAAAGCCACAAGCGCCAACAGAAAACTTAAACCACTCAACTTCCTGAGTAGATTGGCAAACAACGGTTTGAACTTGACTATTGCCACTCAAACGGTGCTCCCACGGATTTTGATTCCAGCCACCGCTAAAGGAAAACTAACAAAGGTTCAGGTAAACCACACCCAGTGGCTCCCAGTTATCTAAATAGTAGGGAACCAGCCATGTTCCGTTTGGCTTTTAAAGCTTGGAAAGCCCTTGAATTCCTACTGAACACGCAGATGGAATCACTGGCAGTAAAGTAACAAACAAAGAAACCAAGATTCAGAGCTTGCTTGGGCGGCAAAGTTCATCGCACCCTCCAACAGGGGAAGCACAAAGCCCCTGCTTGGCTTCTGTAGCGGCCCCTCTGCAAAAAGTCTTCAACTTTCCGTGGCTTCAACTTTTTGTGGGTTCAATCCGCAAAACCAGCTTGAACTCAAAAAACACAATGCTTTTTATGGGTTCAATCCGCAAAACCAGCTTGAACTCAAAAAACACAATGCTTTTTATGGGTTCAATCCGCAAAACCAGCTTGAACTCAAAAAACGCAATCTTTTTATGGGTTCAATCCGCAAAACCAACCTGAACTCAACAAAACCATGAAGTCTAAGGATCCGTTGCCCCATGGCAATCCACATCTTGGCGCCGCGCTCCATCTCCACGCGCTCCTGGAAGCCCCAGAATCGGAAGTGTGGCAAGCGAAGGCGGTCCATTCTTGGCCAGAGTGGTGTGGGTTCCCCAAAGCGCGTGCGTTGGTGGTTGCCTGGACCCTCCAACCCTTGAGAAAGGGAAAAGGCAACCACAATTTTGGGGCAATCACTCATGCCTAAGTGTCCATTTTGGGAAAATAGATGGCCCTGGTGGTTGATTGAACCACCAGGTCAACCAGGGCCCTATATCTTTCTGCCAAATCAACAAAAAAGGACACCTATGCATCCCACCCTTGAGATATAGTAGAACATGGCCAACTAAAAATCCATGTCCATCCATGTGTTTTGCCAGGTCCTCCAGTAGAGAGGTTAGAATAAGGCTACCAACTGTTTTCTGCAGTCTATTTTAGGGGGCCCCTCCCAAACAGAAAAGAAACGGGTAAGAGGTCGGGCACCAATTGCTGGGGGATCTAGTTTGTGTGAGAGAGAGAGAGAGAATCCAGCAGGGCGAGCCGCGTCAAGAGGGAACAAACCGCTTTGATCAAAACCCTTTTGGTTCTAGGGGCAAGGATCTGAATCTTTCTAGAAAACCTCCGGAAACCGATGGGACACCGGATCCGGTGTTTGGAAAGAACGATGGTTGAAAATAATGGGGAATCAACACCTAGAACGGTCAAAAGATCCATTGCTTATATAAGCCCGTTGAAAAAAAAGAGGAACATATGTCCAGCGGTGAAATCGATTCCCGTTAAAACCAAACAGGGGAACACAAAATATGCAATTCACCAAATAAAAGTCAAACCAAGGGTTCTTCCTGTGGGGAAATTAACCACCCTTGGGTTTATGTCTGCCTTGAGGTAGTAGAAAAATGAAACCCTTGGGGCCATCTGTTTCAATGCAGATCTGTATCCAAATTAATGAACTGATAACATTCCTTTTGGCTCCCGTCAAACCAACCCTAAACGGAAATTACCCTCACTCAAACAACAGAAATCACATGTTTTGATGTTGGTCCATATTCAGCGAACCTTATAGTGTAAAGCAAGCTCACGGGGGCGATTTTTCGACTTCCACGAGAAGCCTTGAGCGGTCCCGGCCAGTGGTACCTTATACTGTCCGAGTATCGGTGCGCTACTCCATACCATCGCCTGCAGCACCAGTTCATACCCTATTAACAGCGTCTGATCGTTGTTTTGAGAAGTTCGGAGCTCCGAAGCAAACCAATCTGGATGTGTCCTAAAATAGGGGAACGCCAACATGGGCTAAAATGGTTCCTTTCGCCTCAAACCTAATATCCCTGTAACGAGCTCTCAGGGCTTATCCTGGGCTTCTCCCAGGCTTCTCCAGGGACACCCCCCCGCCCATGGCCCCCGCAAAAGGGGTCCACGAACCCCGCCTTGACTTTGGTCATTTGGATCGTCTTGGGCATCTTTACCTTGAGTTGGGACCTGGCATGGCTTCGATCGCCGTCCGAGCAACCCGCTGGGGCCAACCGCCAGGGGCGGTAAAAAATAATGATGACGGCAAAAAGAGCAAGCAGGGAGTCCATTTCCCTGGTCTTGTGGAGTCCATTTTTCCCTGGTTTTGTAGGTCACCAAGGGCTTGCCAGCCTTTAAACACCAAACGAAAAACGGATGGTTCCCTACTATGTAGGTCGCTGGGAGCCGCTGGGATGACTAGAATGGGGCTGCGGGGTACTTAAAACCAAAGTCATGATCATACGAGAATGATTTAGCCCGTTGTATTATGTTCAGACTCGGTTTCTAGTCGGTCGGTCTGGAAGAAAATCCAACAAACGACAACTTTTAAACTACTTGCTTATTTCCCCGGCATCACACAGACTTTGTGCCGCACATGTAAACGGCAAATGGCTTCGGTCGACTTGGGTGTTCCTTTCGCGCACCTGGTGTGAAAGGAAACCGACAAGACACACCCCACAACCAATCAGTCAGCCCGCAAATGGGAGATCCGCTGGATCGCAGGGGGTTGGGCGACGCAACCCCTTGTTTTTGAAGGTGTTTAAGCCAATCTTTATTGAACAGCCCCTTTGTAGGTTACCTTGTTATGAGGCAAACTCATTGTTGAAACAAGATCCATTTGGGCAACCTTCAAAGGAGCCCACGGCGGTTGCCATCTTCCACCCAACTTTTGCTGAACGGAAACAAGACTGTCATGACCTCTCGATGGCAACCGTCTTGGTGAAGACGGCTCTATAGCGAAGTCATCACCAAAACCAGATGTCAAACATGGTAAAAAAAAAATCAGAAGGGCGGATATCCGCACCTATTCAAAATGTATGGTTGAAACAATCCCTTATACAGCCTTCACTTCTATACCCAACCGTGCGTAGTCGAGTTGTGTTTTCGGGTCCAGGTATACATTGTTCATTTCATTCACTGTCTATTCCTTTGCGACTATGATGCAACAATTATTTTGAGCCCCCCCCTCATTCCAACCATGTCCCGGAAAAGTTGAAGTCTAACGATCCAACTCAATAGCAATCAAGATGTGAACCGTCCAAAAAGCAGTCGGAAAGCGGGCGTTTTCTGTGGCATGCCGGGCTTGATGTCCCTGTGATGGCACACAGAACCATTGATCCCGAACATGAGAGTGTCACGTTAAGACAAGCCGTTACGTATGTTGACCCCTGGTACAGGGTCCGCCACTGTCTTTGCCTCGTTGGAGTTTTAAACATCCATTCTTGGCCAGATTAGTGTGGGTTCCCCAAAGCGCGTGCGTTGGTGGTTGCCTGGACCCTCCAACCCTTGAGAACGGGAAATCGCAACCACAATTTTGGGGCAATCACTCATGTGGCCATGGGTCAAAAACCCGTGCCCCCAGTGAACATCACAATCCCCACTAAAATAGGCTAAAATGGGTGCACCTACCCCAAAATGGTACCATTGGTTTTGACCCACAGCCATGTGTAAGGCTAGTTTGGTGTGCATTCCTTACTCGCCAGCGTGACCGCTCATCGTGGCCCACCAGCTTCAGCGTGACCGCGACCATCTGCTCTTGGCCTTAGCATCTAAAAGGGGGACCCCACTGGTCCTCAAAAACACAGAAACACGGACACGCAAAGAGCTTTGCGGACAACTATGTTGTTTAATGTGTTTTTTCCTGAGATAGCCAAGTGGGATTCCCATGACGACTCGATGAACCACTGTCAAAAAACGTGGCCATCTAAGCCCATGATCAACTGCCAGGCCCGGCATGGTTCGTTCGATGGGGTTCTGGGCAGGGAATGAGAAATTGAGTTGACCCGAGAAAAGCCGTCCCTATGAGGCCCTATGTAAACCCCTTCCGGTTCATTAAACACACCCGAAAGGTCATTCCCTACTAATCCCCTATGGTCTCCTTTAAGGGAAAGCCCAAAGCAGGTTCATTCCCAGAACGAGGACTCGGTCATTCCCTACTGACTGAGCAGCAGCAAGTCAAAGGTCATCCTTGCAACCAGACCGAAGCGGAGCTGCTCATATCTCGCCAAACCACTGGGTAAATTGAAGTTCAACCTCAAACTTGCTCAAGGAAGCTGGAAAAGCGAGTAAGAAATCTCCCAATTATGCGCAACGGACATATGGACGTATTGAACTTGCAGTAGCTAACGGCACACCTTCACTATGGCCAACATTGACATTGAACTATAGTGAGCAAGCCTCGATTCCTCATGGTCCGGTGATTCTACCCAACTCTAGTGGATCCCGGTTACGTATACAGCAGGTAAGCAGCCATTCTCCTTTTGGTTAAAGGCTGGTTTCCGCAATTGGAATCATTGGGAATGTCATCCCCTTTCCTACAGAGATCGTCCCAGCGCAATCCTTTTCTCTCTGCCTTCGAACAGATCGCTTGTTTCACTCGCCTCCAACCACTTTTCAACCTCAGCTTGTGGCTCCCCCACCAAACAATTGATGGATTCTGGTGCACCACGGTGTCCAAAGATGTCAATTTCAAGGGGAGCCCCTATTCTAGGTCCTCCGGTGGAGAGGTTAGAAGAAGGGTACCCTTTTTTCTGTAGTCTATTTTGGGGGAACCCTCCCCAAAAAAAGGGTCAGAAAGGGCACCTAGCTGGGGGCCTAGTATTTCAGAAAACCACATACCAGGAGTCTTGGGTCCAACTGCTTTGCCTCATCCATCCAGCCTGGGGCCCCAGCGCTCCTTTCGCGCTGCAGACATGGCGCAAAAGAGGACCCAAACTCCAGGTTGAGATTTCAAAGACTTGGGACGAGCACTAGACTGGGCTGTCCTCAGATCGCCTGCTAGAAGTTTAACTTTTAGTGAGTTGAATGGACACCCCACTAAACACTAAAAGGCTAAATAGCTAAGGAACCGGATGGCTGGGAACCACCAACTAGAGACTGGAGTCAACAACAAATTGGCCGTTCACCTTTAATGTGTAAGGTGTCAACCCCATGCCAGACCTCAGCAACACCTCGAACATGGCTCAGGGAAACTGCGATGAACCAACGCCTCTTGCATGACTTGCCTAAACACCGGACTCAAACCAGCATGCGATCTTCAAAGGTCGCCCACTCGTGTGGTACAGGGGTCACGGGATTTCCCCTCCAGTTGCAATTTACATTTGGTTTCTACTAAAACTGCAACTGTTGGAGGTTCCCCAAACAACGGAAATGGCTCCCAGACCACGTGTCAGGCTGCAATTTCTAGCTGGCCCAGTCAGCCAAACGACTTCTTCTCTCACCCTTGGAGCCAAACGCCACGGAGGCTAGAACCTGGATACACCGACTATGTTGCATGGTCTATGCAAAAATATGTCTTGCCTTGGACCCCGGCCTGACTCTACATAGTCTACCCTAGGCAAAATATGTATACAGTTGGAATGGACCCCAGCAAATGCCACGCCTATGAGGTTGTGGGGATAGGAGTAACCCATTCCTGATGTGTTAGACCATGTAACTCCCCTAAAAGTCATCGAACGCCAAAAGGGGGGGTCCCCCAAAAACAATGTCGTCTAGACATGATGACTTGGGGTTGTGTCAACATGGGGAAACCCCATGCATAGGTGGGGTCCTGGTTTTCCCCGTAAAACAACCCCAAAGAAGGAGTGTCCTAAAAGCAAACCCCCTCCAATGATTCACAATCAAAACCTGGTACAAAAATGGTGAACCCATAACCATGCTTCAAGAATTAGAAAGGCGGATATCCGCAACTCTTTCCGGCTGGGACTGCCCCTAACCTTCATCAATCCCCGGGTGTTGAGCAAATGGCTCAAATGATTCAAAGGGAAGGTCAACCACAAAAGAAAACCGCACTGAAGCCACTGAGCAGTGGCATTGGACATCACAGGAGGAAGGTACCTTAAACCTGAGCACCTTCCAAGAGGGTACCTTCAGGTGGTACTTGCGCAGCCCATGAGCAAAAATACCCTTACGGATCTCAAATCCTCAGCTTGCGCAAGCATCTACATTTACACTTGTGTCAAACACAACCTTACAGGTACAAGAAATGCACTGATGCCTATGAGCTGAGCGATTCAATTGCCTTGCAGGGATATTCGGGATATCAAGCACTGTAATATTTGCACATCCCGCTTTCCACTGTGTGGGGGTTCATGGAGATCCTCTTTGATCTGCGAATGACTGGAATTAGGCCCTGCTGTACCATCAGACCACGCACGTTTGCCCTTCTTCTCCTATCACCGCGAGACTTTTTCCGGACCGCAAAGCTTTCGACTTCAGGGATTGCCCTTTGACCCAGGACCCGTAAGCCCGTCCTGAAGAGGGGATTCTCTCCAAAAGTAAAGGGGGAGAGAGACCTTTAATAAAACAAATACCCGGGGTTTATGATGAATCCAGGGTTTCCATCCCTCCAAGTCAACTGGTGGCCGGAATCAACTCATTTTTGGGTGCATGCCGCATGCCTCTGAATAGGGTCACTTCGGATGAACCCTAAGCTGTCATGATGGCAGCTCAAAGTGTGCAGTGGTGCCAACTCGACACTAGTTCAACAAACAAGCACTCAAGTTATCAAGCATAAAGTTGGCCCCGCAAGGATGATAAACAAAGCCTGGCCCAACCCTTTGGTGTGCTTCATAGTTGCTTGGTGTGCTCATGTGGAGGTGGCTCAAACAATTGTACCCAACTGGCACCTTGGTAACTTGAACCAAAGACCAAAATCTGAGTAACCCTAGTTCTGAAAAATGAGCCACACCTATGCTCCATAGTTTTCAAGGAGACCCCCTCTTCGGGGTCAAAAAGGCCCCCTTGGAAGCCGCTTGATCGATGTCCAGCTAGGGAGCGCTCCCGAAACCAGATCGTGGACGCGAATCGAGCTCGAAGCCAGGAATCCCTCCTTTTGCAGTCTGGTGGAATATCAGGATTTCGGTTGTAGGGACTTGGGATAGGGTCTTCCCTCTTGGAGGCTTGGGCTGTTGAAATATGAGGGTTCCGCTTTTAGGGAATTGGGATGTTTTAGGGTCTCGGCGAGGGTATCCAACACTTTGAGCTCCTGAAGTCGACCCATGTCATTTGATCCCTGGGCACTTCCTCCTCACATATGGCCGTGTGTCAAAACCAGTGGTTCCATTTTGGGGTAGGTGCACCACCCAATTTAGTCTATTTTAGTGGGGATTGGGATGTTCAATGGGGGTACGGGCTTTTGACCCATGGCCATATGTCTTTTGTGAATCACGCCATACTATTTATTCACTGATAGCATTTCTGGGAAAGCCCTTCTAGGCCATCTCTTACTTGCCCTGGCCAATGGACGACCCAACACAACTGCTGCTTGTGGCTTGGCTTTGCCTGGAAAACTGGGTGACTGATAATGTTGACCCCTAATTACTCCATCCCCCCCCAGTTATCAATCAGGGAGGTCCCAAAGCAAGGATTGCTGACAAAAAAGCGAAGCTCCTTAGTAATACGTGGGGGGTTATTGACCCTGGGGTTCAAACCACCCGTCAATAGGGGTTCATATCCACCATTGCATCATCCAATTTGGGTCAATCTTTCAAATGTAATTTGGGGGCTGAACCTCAGAAATGATCTGGGGTCAGCAAGGGTGCCCTCACAAAAGCTGGGCGAACACAAGCACACCACAACAGGGATTGTCTGGCACCGGGCAAAGCCAGAGATGCGACTTCATCGCGAATCCCTTGGCCCAAGAAGCGACCGTCAAAAACGCACATTTAAAAGGGCCTCCTTGTCTTGAACCGGCTATAAATCTTAGAACTGGCGGTTGGTGGAGGCTACTTGAATCAAAGTAGAGGTTCGAAGAAATAAGTGATTTCAAAGGAACTGGAGGCTAGTGGACCTTAATCAGCCCACCCCCGTAAATCCTGCCGAACCAAGGTGGCCGAGAAAATTCGCCAGCCATTCGGTGTAAAAAAAGGCCCCTAGATCAGGGGATCTTTGTACATGCCAATGGCCGAAATCGATCGCCGCCACGACTTAGTCGTGCAGGCAGCAATGGAAGTGTGGCATGTCCTTCTGAAGGCAACAATTGCCACTTTGGAAAGTTCTGCGCACTTCCATGCTGAACAGAGGGTCGAAGGATTGTCTCGCACAGGTTAAGCACTGGAGGTCCCCTTTAATAGAGAAAGACATATCCGTAACATCCGAAACGACTCTCCTATCAAACATCCGTAACGAAAAAGACCGGCGTGAGTGAGCGCCCATTCGGCCAAGATTGGGCAAGTCTAGATCGCAGCAATTTCCTCTGGTCGATCCGAGTTCGAGCCAAGACTCTTTGATCAAGAACGCCTCTTCCGATTATCTTGAACAAGCAGGCACGGCAAGGGGAAAACATGTGTGTGTGTGTGTTTCCCTTTTTGTTGACGAGTTCTTCATTTTCCCGGCTAACATCTGGGCACAGACGGGAGACAGGCACAAAGACATCTAAGGGGCCGGTCTGCTTGACCTCCTCTCGCGCCACGGCATGGCTTGCAAGCTAATTAACTTGCAGGGATGCCGCCGGAAAAAAGAAACAGACAAAAAAGACAACGAGGCACTGAATCTACCCTCTTAGATTTGTTTTATAAGCCAAAGGTTCAGGGAAATCCATCCATTCAGCAAAACGTTATCTATGCACACGTGGACCTGGAGGGTAAGCCTGAGGCCAGCGGACCACAAGGCCTGGCTCGGATGGAAGCTATTGATCGGCCCACCCCAGGCTTTCCTGCTTCAAGGGATTTGTGAGAGGCTCCCGGGGTTGGAACAAAACCCTTTTTTGCTCAAGTTCTGGTATTTCGGGACCTTAACGATCTACATCCTTCGACCCCTGGCTGTATCTGAGCTGAACGGACTTGCAACCCGCGCCATGAACCAAAAGCCATCACGTGTGTTCCTCGAAGTCTTCTTGAAAGCGATCCAGCTGACCTGCGGGGCATAACGTGGGGAGTGGGGGGTGCGATTCTTGGGGTGTAAAGGATCCAGGGAAGTATACCACAGTAGGAAACCTGGGACAATTATGCAAATCTGGGACTCTTGCTACAGTGGAAGCTGGATACTCTGGGTTGTCTTCTGTTCTAACCCAAATCCGCATCTAACACAAAACTGGAACAATGTCATCATCCCCCAACGGGGTCACCCTCTACAGATCCCGCATGTTCACTTCCCGAACCCAAAGGCGTGGCCTGGGTGGTGGGAACTCAAAGTGGGTTCCAGGTCCCCCGACGAGCGGGGTGGGGCAGTACCATAAGTACCACACTATGGGAATGATAAGGGCGGAGAAGAAGCCAGCCTTCCATTTGCAGTAGAGGTTCCTGGCGAAAGGAAAACATATGTATATATATATATATAGTTCCAGTGAAATCGATCCCCTTGAAAACCAACAGGGGCAAACAACAAATATATAGCCAGTTCAGCAACTGGAAGGATTCAATGTTGGTGCTTGGTAGTGTGGGACCCGCCATCTCGACCAAAGCCGCACAGAGCGAGAAAGTGTCAACCAACATATGCAGTTCAGCAAATGGAAGATATAGCCAACCAAATGGACTTGGTGTTTTGTGTTTTTTGGGTTTCTGTGTAAATCAACAAATATGGCCAAAGCCAACCATATAGCCATCTCTTAAGAATAGAGAGCGGCCTGTCATGGGGCCTGTGTTTTGGAAACAGAAGGGGTCGTCATGGGGGCTGAGTTTTTTCAGATTCCTGGGGGCTGAGTTTTTCAGATTCCTGGGGGCTGAGTTTTTCAGCAAAAAAACAAAAAACAAAAAAACACAGCCCATCATCTGAAGACAATACTTTGTTGATGCTTTCTTGATGCAAGCTTTTTTCATGCAAGACATCAATAATATGATGAGCTGTGTATCAACAGAACATAAGCCTCTTCCAAGATATTCTGCAGGTAACTCCAGGTAACTGGAGATCATTTATCTCATCTCTCATTTCATCTTCTGCAGGTAACATCTCATCGCAAGCAATTGCTTGTGGCTTGTGCCTACTTGAATCTATTCTGAACAGCTTTACTGTTGCAAGAGCTCTTCAGCAACACGAATAGCTGCAGAGAATCTTATTCCAAAGCTCTTATTCCAAAGCTGAACAGCTTTATGCAGAGAATGTTATTTGCATCTGCAGATATCTTTGCAGGTGCTCATCTTTGCATCTTGTGCTTCTTTGAGCTCAAGCAACTAGATTGGAGCTGTGCTCCAATTGCTCCAGCTCATTATGCGATAAATATGTTTGTGTTAGCTGTCTTTTCTCAAGAGCATGGGCAGGGCCCATGCGTATATTGAAATATTGAACATCCAACTGTAAAAAGAGCTGAGTCTTGCAGCTGAAAGCTGCATAGATCAGCGATATCTTACGTTTCTTATGATTTCATATGCATGGCAAGCTGTGCTTGCCATACTTACGTGTTTATACATCTGCTTGCAGATTGCTAAGCATACGTCTTCCAAAATATTGCATACGTGTGCAAATTGTGTTGAAGATTTGTGCCAAACATGCGTCTTCCAAAAGTTAGAACCCTGAGGTTTATAAACTTGGCATGCGTAAGCATGCCAATTATCCAAAAATAAGCTACAGACACACGTTTGCTAAATATTTGTGTCCAACAATGATATTTGTGCAAAATAGTTCTCAACAGGCAGTCTTCTGTGTAGCTTGAAGCTAGCTCATTTTCCAGGTCTGGATGCATCTGAGTCTTCATTGGATCGAAAATGAATCTGTGCTTGCATGTCATCAGCAAAAAAAAAAAAACAAACGCACCCCAATAAATCTAAGAGGTCACGGGTCTTGATCTTAGATTTGTTGCATTGTGTTAGTGCTTTTAATGGAAAAAACTCCGCCCCCAAGAATCTGAAAAACTCAGCCTTCCAGGAATCTGAAAAACTCAGCCCCCAGGAATCTGAAAAACTCAGCCCCCATGCCGACCCGCCCTCTTTGGAAATCTGCCTTTTGTCAAGAGCACGTGAGAATGGTGTACTGATGCGTGTTGTTCTGATTTTTTCAGGTATTTCGCAAACGCAGGATTCATTTCAGCAAACGGAAGCCGCCCGAACAGTCTCGAAAGCTGTCTGGAAGCATCTCAGAGAGCAACGGGGGTTGCCGGTAGAAGAAATTCCCCGCCCGACTTAAAACACACCGAGAGGTGCTGGTCTTTCTTTGTCTTCCAAAAGGGGGTGTGCTTGGGGGGCCAACAAGAAATAATCAACTATGTTTGAGTCCTCTGACTAGTAGGTCTTCCGGATTAATGCAAAGTTAACAAAAAGTACCCTTTCCACCACCATCTAACCCCAAGCAAAGGGGGGTTGTCCCTTTTGTTCTACACTGTAGTTTGTCGGCTCATTCTTGGATTTTTTAACTGAGGAATCCAAGTAAACCCTGTAGTTTGTCGGGCCACCCTTGGTTCCTGGTCAACTTTCCGCAGAAAAACAAAAAAAGAGACCCTTTAGGACCACAACAAGTCAAGGTGCCCTTTGTTGTTTTAGACCCCTTTGGTTGGGCCCCAAGTAAAGGGGGGGGCTTCCCTTTGTTGTTCTAAACCCGTTCCTTGCGCGAATCCTCGGCTTCGGAAACCGCGTCGCGGAAAACGCCTGCGATGAGACTCACGGAGTCCAGCGCCGTGAAGCCGCCTTGCGCCACCTGGCGGTTTCGGTTGCCCGCGAAAAGGGGCGAATGAATGGCCTCGGCGTGGTCCTGTTTTTCAATCCCAAAGTGGTGGGTTTGATGGTACCCATTTTCTGGATGGTGCCAGAGATGCAGGGAAAAACCATCCCTTGCTGGTGGTTTCTCCTTTAAGGGAATCCCCTTCCGGTTCATTCCCACATTCCCCAAGCACGAGCAAGCTGTAGGTTCTTAAAGGGAAACCCACAGGGAAACCCACAGGGAAACCAACAGGGAAACCCACCCATGATTTTTCTTTGGGGGGGGCTTCCCTTAAAAAAAAGACAGAACATCCAGAGCAGCAGGAAATAAAGACAGACCCAGCGGACTTCCAGAGAAAACCTCAGTTCTGTCTCAACTGTCCAATGGCAGCCCATCAAAGAAAACGGAACTGTGAAGCCAACAAACCAAGTGCCACGTGTGCAGATTTGCAGCTTTCCATCGCTTTAAACGCTATTGATATTCCAAGCGTTTTGGCAACAATCCGTGTTTTGGGGTGAGGGTCCGCTTTGTACTCCAAGCGTTTTGGTTGGTATCAACTCATTTTGTGAGGGTAAGGATCCGATTGGTTTCCATGAGGTTTCAACCGTTGGTTCTCTGTGGATGGTTGCGGCTTCCCAGCACCCCAACCACCGATTCAGCTCGAAACCGATTCGGGGGAAGCTGGGGCGGTAAGTTTGGAGCAACCAAACCGCGACAGAAAGCGAAGCCCCAAACGCAAGTAGCAACAAAGTCGCACGGAAGAAACGGAATGACCCAATTTGAGGCACAATCAAATTCCAGTAGGTGCCGGTATCCGCCGCTTAGATTCTTTACATGGCGTTGGGTAGACCATTGAGTACCAGGTTTTGATCATTACTGATTTGGGATAGCGACAGGCTGCTCCCAGGACCCAGAAAAAGAAGAAAAAAAAACAGACCTTTGGCTGATTTTCCTTTCTCAACTCAAGAAGGACGCCTTTTTGCGAGCCCTTGGAAGACCAAGGCATGGTGTCTTCATTTAGGCAAGCCAATAGGATCGTGTTAAACAAGAGTGGCTTAGACATGTGTGTAAACAAGGCTTACTTGCGCAAAGGACCCAGACATACAAGCTGATCACCTTTTGGAACCTTGACCAAATAGTCACCAGATCGGGGAAACCACAAGTTTTAAAGGGTCGATTTGCTGTGGGCAAGTGAGCAGTTGTTTACCCTATGGGAGCAAAAGGTCCTGGCATCTAGCTTCAGGTTTTGGGAGATTTAGTCGAGGATGAGCTTCGGGTTAGGCCCACGCCCCCGCTTCCTCTAAGCCGAACGCCTGCGGCGACCACGGCTCCTCCTCGCTTGCCTGCTTGAAAGATCGGCAACCAATCGGCAGCTCCAGGTTAGACACAGGGAATTTGGGTGTGCTTTTTGAGGGTACCACTTCGTTCTGGTCTGGTTTTAGAGGGAAACCAACAGGACAACCACCATTTCGGTGGGTCCCCTCTAAGAAAGGTGGTTGCCAACCAGACCAAGGGTTCATCAGCATACCTCCCCCACCCAAAAAAACAAGCAAGAAAAGGAGCAGCGCACTGTCACCGAGAGGCACAGCATCGAAAAGGGATCACCCGTTGGTGGATCACCAATTTATGGGGCCACCTGAAACAGCAAGAATATCGGGAAGAACCGAAGGCGACAATTAGGGAAAAGAACAGATTGGAGTCAGAGTTCGCCAGAAATCCCCCTTTTTAGTTCTTGGCGAGGTAAGATTACATAAGGTAGGGACCCTAGTTCTGTGATATGAAGGCATCCCGTTCCTTTTTGGGTCCTTTCGCAGGGGCCTAGCTGGACCCGTATTTGCCTTAAGAGAAACATAAATACCTTGATGGGAGATCCAGACACATGGCTAGGAATTCTCATAAGGAATACCCTTCCCAATGCTTGGTGGACATACATCCCCACCTAGATGATGTCCACCCGAGCCGCCAAAACTTAAATATCAGAAGGACACAAACTATTGACTAGTGAAGAGGTTCAGCGGTGGTTCACATCTTTTTGCGCTCGTTGCCACTATGGTTGAAGGAAGAGGCTTGCTCCACCCCCCTTCTCATACGTTCATGTTTAGTAGCAGCGTCCATAGACCCATGACATATTTTGTCCACTTGAAATATGCTGGATCTGCTAGAATTTTGTGACGTTCGTCAAATGAGCTTGTGTCAGAAGCCCACTGTCACTTGCGCGGCATCCTGGGCGAGACAGCTGCTGCCCCTTTAGTCTTACAATGCTAGCCTACATCGATACCTACCAACCTGCGCCGCCAATCGCGGCCCACCCAAAACTGAAACCCTTACTGTCCGTCGCTCATATTTCAACCCTAGCGCGTGTGTTGAGCCAATCGCTGCACGGACCTCCAAAGCGGGTATCCCTATGAAGCCCTTTGTCGCCTTGCCGGTTGGTCCTTGACCGATCCGTGGCTTATCCTCAAACTTTGGTTTCGATGGCTCTCTCGGACTGAAAGCTGTCGCTTTAATTGCGGTTCCCTGAAGGTGAGCAGGCCACGCTGATGCGCCTGGTGAAAATCTTCGTATGTGTGCGGTATAATTTGGGCGACTTTGGGACATCGCGCCAGTCAGGCGCAAAGTTCGTACCAGACACAAAGGAGGTAGCCATGATACGATGGCAAATGACAATCATGACAACAACAACGCCGCGCACAATGCACGCAAACAAACAATCACGCAACCAACCAACCAACCAGCCAACCGACCAAACAAACAAACAAGAAAGCAAGCCAACAAAAAACACAAACAAACGGAAGATAACAAACACGCAATCAAGCAAGCAAGCAAGCAAGCAAGCAAGCAAGCAAGCAAGCAAGCAAGCAAGCCAGCAAGCTAGCCAGCCAGCCAGCCAGCCAGCCAGCCAGCAAGCAAGCAAGCAAGCAAGCAAGCAAGCCAGCAAGCACAAGCAAGCAAGCAAGCAAGCAAGCAAGCACAAGCAAGCAAGCACAAGCAAGCAAGCACAAGCAAGCAAGCACAAGCAAGCAAGCACAAGCAAGCAAGCACAAGCAAGCAAGCACAAGCAAGCAAGCACAAGCAAGCAAGCACAAGCAAGCAAGCAAGCAAGCAAGCAAGCAAGCAAGCAAGCAAGCAAGCAAGCAAGCAAGCAAGCAAGCAAGCAAGCAAGCAAGCAAGCAAGCAAGCAAGCAAGCAAGCAAGCAAGCAAGCAAGCAAGCAAAGCAAGCAAGCAAGCAAGCAAGCAAGCAAGCAAGCAAGCAAGCAAGCAAGCAAGCAAGCAAGCAAGCAAGCAAGCAAGCAAGCAAGCAAACAACCACAACTAGCAAGCAAACCAAACAAAAAACAACAACAAACCAACAAACAAAGAAACAAACCAACAAACAGACAAACAAACAAGCAAGCACGCAAACAAACACAAGCAAACACACAAACAAACAAACAAACAAACAAACAAACAAACAAACAAACAAACAAACAAACAAACAAACAAACAAACAAACAAACCAAAAACATCAACAAACAAACAAACAATCAAACAAACAAACCAACAAACATCAACAAACAAACAAACAAACAAACAAACAAACAAACAAACAAACAAACAAACAAACAAGAACACATACACAGACAAACAAGAACACATACACAAACAACAACACATATGCAAGCAAGCAAGCAAGCAAGCAAGCAAGCAAGCAAGCAAGCAAGCAAGCCAGCCAGCCAGCCAGCCAGCCAGCCAGCCAGCCAGCCAGCCAGCCAGCCAGCCAGCAAGCAAGCAAGCAAGCAAAGCAAGCAAGCCAGCAAGCAGGCAATCGAACAAACCAACAACTACACACACAACAAACAAAGACAGACAAACACACACACATACACACAGCAACACATAGCAACATACAACAATGTACATCAACGTACAACAACATACAACAACACACAACAACACACACTAACACACGACAACTTTCCACAATTCAAACTATTACGCAAACAAACAATCAAACCCAAACAAACACAGCACAAACAAAACACACCACCAAAAAACAGAATAAAAAATCTTGTCAAACCATGCCACTACAAAACAACACGCCGCAACCACCCCGCCACAACCAAGCAATTAGGCAACAAAGCAACCCGCTTTCCGCTCACCTCTGCTCGCCCACAGCACCACAAACCCACCTTGAAGTTCCGCGCAAGGGGGGCTGTGTACAAGTTGCTGCCAATCTGGCGCGGTGGTCGTAAGAACCAAGAACCCCAACCTGGCTCACTTTTGGCTTCCTCCAATTCGATTCATTTTGCGCCCGATTTAACAGCCACATTTTGGGACCCCCAAACACCGGGACTCCGGGGTGAATGGAGGGTCTGGGGTTTCCAGTTTCCATTGAAAGCTGAAGCCAGGAGCCTCCGGGTAAGATAAAGGGCCTCCTAACAAAAGATGCACCAATGCTCAGTTCTGCATGGCCGTATTCAGTTATCATCTAGGTCCTCCGGTAGAGAGGATAGAATAAGGCTACCCTGTTTTCTGTATTTTATTTTTTTAGGGGAACCCTCCCAACCAAAAAAGGGGTAAGAGGTCGGGCACCTAGCTGGGGACCTAGTCATAGTTATCCTTATATTTCACCTAACCTCAGCTCTGCCAAGGGCAGCTCACCTCCGCCGAGCCCCAATGCTAATTCTAACACATAAAAACAAACAAGGACCACACACATTGTCAACCAGTGTCAAACAATGTCAACCAATGTCATAGGGAATTTCAATTCAGGAATTGCGCGGCATTGTCAACCCCTGAGTAAAGAACAAACTATTGCCGCACAGTTCCTTGTCGAAGCAAGGACATGCCAAAAGGGGACGCCCTGATAAGTAGCTGGAGGGTCTAGTGGGGGGTCAATCTGTTTTTGTTTTGGGGGGGTGCGCTTTTGGGGGAGGTTTCAAAAAGGACACCAAAAGGAAAACCACCGGTCGACTGAAAAAAGGACAGGGGGAAAGGAATCCCAGTAATTCCTTGAAACCTCACCTCACCCAATTGAACCTCACTTCGCACAGGTCTACCTGAGGATGCCCAATATAAAAAAGCCTGAAAGCAAAGGCGAGCGAGTCCTGAAATGGGAAAGTTGGACTGTTGTGAAACTTGAAGAAGCTGTGTGTCAGAATACGGGACCCCCAAAGTGGGTAGTTACGTACCAAGCCCCCAAAAAACCACACACACACACACACAAACACATACACAAATCCAGCTGGCAAGTTGAAACATTCGCCGCAAATGGACACGACTTGGGGTCCTGGGTCCCAAAAAGGACATGTTTATGACCGAAAACAAACTGGACCCTTCAGGTAAACAGTCTTCCCCAAGGGCTGGATGAGTTTTTTTTGCGCGCGTTTTTGAGTGGGCGAACCGTGCCAGACCCCATATCAGCTTCCCCCTAATTGGTTCATTTACCCACAAAGACCAGAGGTTCAAATCCAAATCCAAACTCTCCACCCGCTAGCCACCCTAGGGTTGCCTGACCATACCGTGGACGGACGAAATTCTGCGCCACCTAAGAAACACTGGTTCCGGATTTCATTCCCCAACATAAATACCAACAAACTCAACCATGGCTTTCATTCGTAGTACGAAAGGATTTTGCCCGCCCGCAGTATGGGTGAATTTCATCAAATTCACAGGAAAATAACATGCAACTGAGAAGCCTCAACCAAACAAACAGCCTCCTGGTTTCTGATGCTTCCCTTGTAAATCCCAGCAAACGTCATGGATTCAACCATGTTTTTTCAAGATGGTGCAGGGTTTCGTCCATTCGCAGAATAGTGAACTGGTGTCTGATCATTCCCCCTGTAAATGCCAGCAGACCATCGGTTTCTCCCTGGTTTCAAGATGGCTTCGTCAGCAGCAGGCTAAAGCCTCCGTACGCTGGAACATCGCGACCTGCACCTGAGAAAAAATCCCGACAAATCCGGGTGCGGGGGGGCGGGGTTTTCCTTGAGACCCAAAAGGAACGTCTAGGGGAGCCATCAAAACCCCAGGGAAAATGATGCTTGTTCTAAAGACAGAACGATGGCTGAAAAGAATGGGGAACAACTCGTGGAGAAAGGGGTTGCGCTTTCCTTGCGGGATTTTTCCAGGCAGGGAATGAGAAAGGGAACGACTCCGAAAGAACGAAAAAAAAAGAACGAATGGTTTCATTTGAGGGAATCTCCAAACCGTTCATTCCAATCGTCATTCCCTACCCATCGCGCCAACAAATTGAGGGAGCCCAAAAAGAAACTACCCGGACCCTGAAATGGAGAGGAACCCACCAACACTAATTTTGGTTGGCAACCCGCATTTAAAGGTAGTTGGATCCAAATACCCAGTTTGGAGGTTCCCTTACTTTGAGGCAATTGTGTGTGTTGTTGCTTTAGCCCTTTTCAGGTTGGACTTTCGGAAAACCAACAGGACACCCAAGTTTGGCAGTTTGTCTACCTTCACCCATACCTACCGTTCATTTCTGAATGGCAATCTGGCGGTCAGTAATTTTGGCCCATGTCACCCCCTTTTACAGTACTTGGCATATCATCCTCTGTTCAAGTGTTCTGTCCAATGGCCATAGGAGGCTAAAAAGTAATCTGAAATGTAATGAGGCATTGGGTGTAAGGAAAAGGACAACAATCATTGTTCGGGTCTCCCTCATTATATGCTCTGAACACCCAGGCCCCCCCTTGGATTTCCGAGGGGAGAAAACTGGTACCATCTTTAGAGAAGAACTCCCAACAAAGAATGAAGTGCTGAAAGACACTTTCTCAGCTGGTTCACTGGCAAGCCAAAAGCTAAACCTGAGAACAAGCCTGTGGTTGCTTTTGGTCCAAATCCCACTTTGAGGGACAGAAGCAAACCCCCCCACCTCCTATAGGCCAATACAGTCACTCAAACTTTAAAGCATCATTCGATTGCCATTGGTCATGGAAGACGTAACAGGTGCTCAAACATGCGCAAACAAACAATCAAGATGGACCTCTGTGGACTCTCTGCAAGATCTGCATGGCGAGCAACAGAAAGCCGAAAAAACCGTGGATAAAAGAAAGGGTTCGGAGTCTCCATAACCTGAATCCACACATGGGGATCATTACCCAGAAGACAGGACTTGGAGTCTCCATACGCCTTTACAACTGTGGCAACCCAAAAGATAGGGGCGACCCCATCTTTGATTCGGGCCATCTGAAGGCTCCAAGTGCTACTAGGTTTTTCAGTAGAGAGGGTAGAATAGGGGTACCAACTTTTCTATGTAGTCTATGTTAGGGGAACCCTCCCCAAAAAAGTTGGTAAAAGGGGACTGGGGACCTAGTTGTGCAAAACTGCACATATCATATACTCAGCATCGTATCACTATACCAAAAAAGAAAGGTGAGAAAGGCCACCACTGGACTGGGGGACCAAGTGCTAACTCGGCAACTCGACGACTTCGCCTGTCGGCGCTGTCGGGGCAGCTCCTCCAAATGATCCGACCTGGGCGAGCGCGAGCCGTGGCTCCGTGCCTCGCCCAGGAGGGATGCTCGAAGAAAAACTTATTCCAAAACTTGTTCCAGGAGTGGTAACCCCAAAACGATGACGTCAAACATCTAAACATATGTTTGCGTGAGTTTGGATGCCATCATTTAGGATGAACATGGTGGGTGGGTGGGTGGGCGGGCGGGCGGGCGGGCGGGTGGGGGGGTGTGGAAAATTAGGAGGGAAATCTTACACCCTTGGTTTCAACCCCATGTGGAGGAAGCAAGTCCTTCTGCAAATAATTGTGGTTGATTTATACCCATTGTTTGAATGGCGGTTTGAACTCTATGTGTCCACATGTACTGGCAGAAAAACATGAATCTGATCGTACGTCACAAAATATCTCACCATCATGTTGTGCTGTATAGTCCCTTAACCCACCAAAGGTGGTCGGTTGACTAAGGGAAGCACACACTACAACCAAGCTGAGCAAAAAGGGGGTTTTAAAACGACAAAAAAAGGCCGGCTTCGTTTGGTAGCTGATTGTAATGTGGAATATTCAAAGAAAAGGACAAGGCGCCGTGGGTCTGGGAGTTTATCTATTTGGCTCAGAGGTGGATCACCCTCCCTAGCTGAGCCTCCAGCATGCCCTCGTATCGATGCTCGTGCTCCTGCTGGCTCGAGCTTGCTCGTTGCCAGTGGAAAGTCAGGATCAATGAACCCTCGATGTTCAGACTGGGGTCATGCGAGTAATCAAAACCAAGTATTCACAGAGCCAAAGAATCCTGCACCACTCGGAATCCATGGGAATCCAGTGTTTGTTGGTATTTACAGGGGAATCATCCTTCCAGGGTTGCTGAACGGTGGTGCGAAATGGATTTCGCATCCATCCACAGTATTAATACAAAGGCGGCTGCGCTCATATCCATGTTTGGGATGATGAACCTTCGCCTACCCAAAATCGGTTTGGAGGAGGTGGCTTGGATCTGGGGATCTGGACTATGGCCTAAAGGCGTCGAGAGATGGAAAAGCAACAGCCAGCGAAACACGACAAGAGGGACTGTGCTGTTTAGCTGTTGCTCTTCTTTGTTTGTTGTTTGTATCTTTTTCGTTGGGGGGAAGAGGGGGTTGTCTGTTGTTCTTTCCTTTGTTTTCTGTTTTTTTCATTTTCTTTGTTTTTTCTCTTTTTTTTTTGGGGGGGGGGGGGGGCGAGAGTTGTTTTCTTCTTTTCCGTTGCTCTGTCCGTTCTTTTTTTTTTTGGGGGGGGGTGGGCAACACAAGGAACACCTCCATGTTTGGGGGGGTCCCACTACTTTGACACATCCAAGCAGCCAGGGCCAAGGTTCTTGTTGGCATCATGAGGCAACAAATAAGCTATCTCCAAAATTAAACGGTGCATATCTCTGGAGGCTTCACTTTGAAGGGTCGACTTGGTTTTACAGGGTGTTGGCCCCTCCACCCAAATACATGTCCTTGACGCAATCCTTCAACATGGGTACGGCTTCCTTGTGGATTCCCTTCAAGACCAACCAACGAATCGTGGCTCGGTCTTTTGAGGGGAAACTCCGAAATCAGTGAAAATCGCAGGACAAGTCAAGCGAAGTCAAGGGTCCCTTTCTAGGGCCTGCGAATGGCGGGGTCTTGCGGATTTTGTTTTGCTCCCGGTGCGATTCCTACATTAGGCTTGGGGGCGAGCAATGAGAGTTGGAGTCGGTCTCGGCTTCAAACTCAGCTCGTTGGATTTCCTTGAGGCAACCGCGCGTGCACGTGTGGGCAGGGATGCACAAGTAGGCTTGTGCGTGTTGGGGTTTAATCCTTGTTGGTACACTTCCTTTTTAGATTCTCTTCTGGCGGTTCCATGCACGCTAGATTTCTTCGGTGGCCCCCTCCCCGCCTTCCTTTGGGTGTTGATTCATTGGCTCCCCTTGCATCTGAAACGCACATACGCGGGACCTGGGTCCTCCATCTCCGGGTTATGTCCCTCTTTTTTTTTTTCGGGTTGTTTCCAGAAGACCCTCTGAAAACTAGGAGTTTCAGGTGTTTCAAATGACATGAATAAAAAAGCAAGAGAAGTGACAATCAAGCACTAGGAGTGTTCCTGGGGGAAACAAGTGGAACTGTTCACTATCCCACCAACTATGCAACTCTGTGCACTCGAGTGGGTATTCCACTGCTTTTTATTGAACATGCATCTCCGGAAACTCCGTGTTTTTTTTTTTTTGTTTTTTTTTTTTTAAATTCGGGAGTTTGCGGGCTTTTGGGTGTGTGTGTGTGTGGGGTCTTTGCGGGTTTTTTGGGCTGAGTTTCAG